AAATAGCTTGGCTATTAGTCTAGCTCGCTTGCTTAATATAGAGAAGCTTCCCCGAGAATATTCTATTAGTAGAGGTTATATTTCGGGTAATATCCGCTTCTAATCTAAATACTATAATATAGTACCTAACTTCCTAGTTTCTTTTATTAAATAAATATATCTAGCCAGAAAAGTTCCTAAGTATAGTAAGTTCTGCTCTATAAAGGTTCCGGATTCTTTAAAGCTTAGTAATAGTAAAAACCTAACCTATAATTATTAGTAAGTTCAGATTATTAGTAAATTTAAAGTTAATATAGACTATTATATAAATAAAAACACTCGTATATATTATATCTTTAACTATATAAAAGGCAATACCTAATACTACTTATATATTTAATATAAGCCTAATACTACTAATTCTTTTAAGATAGTTATAGAAATAATTAACTACTTTAGTAAATACTTTATTAATCCTTATTATATATATAAAGCTAGATGCAAATATAAGAAGCTATAAATAAATAAGGTTTAGATCTTTTATAAGTTTAAGACTAAGTTTATTTATTTAGTAAATAAAACTCAGATCTATTTATAAGACTATTTTAATAAGCTATATAATAAGCTAATACTTCTTTTTTAAAAATAACTTATAAGCTAGTACTATTCTATTTATATACTCTATAACCTATATTATATAGCCTTATTAGTTAATTCCGAGATAAAGATATTATAGATTTATAATAGCCTTAAAAAGTATATTAAGGCTCGAGCTATTACTATTTTTCTAATCTTTACTACTTCTAATACCTCTATATTTACTACTCTTAAGCTCTATATAATAACTTCTTATATCTTTATACTAACCCGAATACTTCCGATTATTAGTAAGCTAGCTATTAAAAAAGAAAATACCTCTACTTTAATCTTAACCTGCTTTAATTACTTTTAGACTAGTTATATAGCCCGTAACTATCTAGTATTAAAGTATATTACTAATATTAAGGAACTAGAGAAAAATAATAAGCTTATAGAAACTAATATAAATAATATACCGGGAAATAAAAATATCTAGAAAAAGACTTTTTCTTAGGCAAACTTGAAGTTAATTTTATAGAAATTAATCTAGACTAGTTAATAGAAGAACTATACTTAATTATATCCTATAGCTTATCTTATAATAAATATTTAGTTAATATCTTTTCTCTTATTAACTCCGGAGTAAATAGTTTTATATTTATTAATACTTTTCTTATTATAGATATTATTACTTTTTTTAACTTTAAGTTCTAGTACTTATTTAAGCCTATTAGTATTAAGAAATATAATAGTAAGCTAGGAACCCGTATTATCTATTTCTTAAGAATATATCTTATTATTAACTAGAAATAATAATATAATATTCCCTTACTAATATTTAATATAGCCCGAGCTTCTTCTTTTATTACTGTCGGTTATATAAGAGATTTCTATATCTCGAGAAGCTTTACTTCCTGTCCCGAAATATGCCTTTTATTCTAATTATTAAGCAAATATTAAAGCCAGAGACTATATATTTAATAAGAAGAACTAATAACGAATTACTAGGAAATAAGCTTTTATTAAAAACTATAATATAGAAAATGACTCTGCTACTAACTTCTTTTTATATACTAGCTTTACTAATAATACTATCTCCGAGTATAATTTTACTAATTCCGAATTAAATCCGGATAAAGAGCCTAAGCTAGTACTAGTTACTCCTATTTTATAGAAGCCAAAGATTAAATACTTCTATAAGTAAGATATTTAAGATAGCTATTACTAAATAGAAAACTTTCTAGCTAGTATTATTTACCCTATAAATATCCTATATTAGAAGAAACTATATATAGAAAGAAAGCTAGTAAAAGCTCTTACTATTAAGATTACTAGTATTAGCTTTATAGGTATATATTATAACTTCTAATAATTCGAGAATAAAGCCTTTACTATAAACTTCTATAAGATTAATAGCCTTTTTAAATAATAAAGAGAGCTCTTTCCGGGAACTAATATAGAAAACCCTATTATTCTCGAATAATATATTAAGTTTAATAAGGCTTTCTCTAAAAAAGCCTCTAATATTTTATTTTTCTATTAGTTATATAATTATAAGATATAATTAGAAAAGAAAGCAGAGAAATATCTGAGATATAGCCCTTTATATAAGATAATAATAGCCGAATTAGAAGCTACTAAAAAATACTTCCTAAAGAACCTTAATAAGAGTTTTATTACTTCTAGTTAATTACTATTTATAGCCCCTATTCTTTTTATAAAAAAGCCTAATAGAAGCCTATAGTTCTATATTAATTACTAGAAGCTTAATTAGATTACTTATAAGAACTATTATTCTCTTTCTCTTATTAAGAAGACCTTAGCTAGAATTAGTAAAGCCAAAATCTTTATAAAGCTTAATATTTATTAGACTTTCTACCGAATTCGTATAGATCCCGAATTAGAGAAATTAATAACGTTTTATATATATTATAGAATATATAAATATAAGGTTTTATTCTTTGGATTAACTAATAGGCTAGTTACTTACTAGTATTTATATAAATAATATCCTATTTAATTACCTAGATAACTTTTATATAGCTTATCTAGATAATATCCTTATTTATTCTAATAACAAGTTAGAATACGAACTTTATATAAAGAAGATTCTTTAGTAACTTTAGGATATAGGCTTATAAGTAAATATTAAGAAATGCGAATTTCATATTATATATATAAAATACCTTAGCTTTATTATTTCTATAAAGAATATTAAAATTAATTCTAAAAAAAATTATAGTTATAAAGAATTAAGAAGCTCCTTAAACTATAAGAGAAATATAAGCCTTTCTAGGATTCTATAACTTCTATAGGAGGTTTATCTATAACTATAGTAAGATTACTAAGCCTTTATTAAATCTTATATATATATAAATATTTCCTTCTTATTTAATAAGATTTATTAGAATGCTTTTAAGAAGCTTAAAGCCTATCTTATATTATTAGCCCTATTCTATTATTATAACCTAGAATAATAATTAATAATCGAGACTAATACCTCGAATAGTATTATTACTAGTATTCTCTTCTAATAATATAATAATAAGTAATATCCCGTAATATTCTTCTCAAAAATAATAATATTTATAGAATATAATTACGAGATATATAATAAAGAGATACTTACTATTATATAGTCTTTAGATTAATAGTACCCGGAACTTTAAGGAACTACTTATTAAATCCAGATTTATATAAACTACTACTTATTAGAGTACTTTATAATAATAAAGAAGCTTATAAGTAAATAAGCTAGATAAGCTAAAGCCTTAGCCAAGTATTACTTTATTATCTAATATAGATCCGGTAAACAGAATATAAAGGCTAATACTTTAATATACCGAAATAATGAGATTATCTAGTAAGATAAAGTAAAAGAGAAATACTATACTAAGGCCTTCTTCTCTTAAAACTAAGTTAATCCAAAGATACTTTAGGACCTTAGTATTAAAGTTAACTTTCTTTCTACTTTCTAAGATAATAATAATAATCTTAATAAAACAAATAATTTAGTTAAACCGATCCTACGGGATAACTATAAAGCCTTCTTTTTATAAGCCTTTTATAAGCAGGCCAAACGGAATAATACTAACTTTATTATAGAGAATAAGTTACTACTTTATTATAGATAACTTATAATACCAGGAAAATAGTTATATATAGATTTAATTCATAAGGCTTATAATTAAGTCTCTATAGTATATTCCGGTAAAGACAAAACCTATAAGCTATTATAGCTATAATATTACTAGAAAAATATATAATATAATATTACTTAATATATCCGTAATTACTAACTATATAAACGAGCAAATATTTCAAGAAATAAAACCCCTGGTTTACTTTACTCTTTACTAGTTCCGGACTACTTATAATAATATATTATAATAGATTTCAAGTTAATACCTAACTCGAAATCTGGCTATAATATTATATATATTATAATTAACTAATTAAATAAGCAAGCTATCTTTATACCTTATTATAAAATAATTATAGCAAAAAATATAGTAAAGATATATCTCTGAACTATTTATTATTACTATAGCCCTCTAGCTTTTATTATTTCTAATTATAGTCTGTAATTTATATTAGTATTCTAAAAGAAATTTAATAGAATTCTAGATATAAAGTTAAAGCTATTAATAATATATTACTTATAAATTAATAGGTAGACGGAAATTATAAACTAATATATTAATTAATAATTATACCCGTATATTATATATTACTAAGATAACTAGAATAAGTACTTACTAATAATTAATTATATTTAACTTATTTTCTTATATAGCTTTATTAGTATATTTCTATATAAACTCCTTAATAGCAGGCTTCTATAAATCTTCTTTAATTAGTTAACTCTAATAACTATATCCCAAGACAAGCTAAGTAATACGAAAGCTTAATAAATTACTAGATAAATAAAGAATATTATAAAGAGGGGCAAGAAGAATATAGAATAGGTATAAAAGAGAATAGAGAAATATACTAATACTAAATATTATTCTATAGATTTTAAAATAGAAGATAAGATATATATATTAATAAAGAAGTAGAAAATATAATGCCCTAGTAATAAACTAGACTACTAAATAGCCGGGCCTTACCCGATCTTATATTAAATTAATAATTCCTATAAGGTCAAACTACCCGAGAATATTAAAATTCATAATATATTCTCTCTAGACTATCTATATAAGGCTACTAATAATCTATTACCTGGCCAGAAGAACGAACTATCTCTACTAATTCAAGTAATAATAAACCGAGAATACAAAGTATAGGATATTCTGGCATTAAAAGCAAAACAAGAAAAGCTCCTATATAGGATTAGTTAGGTTAGGTATAACGAAGACCTTAACTAGTATCCGGCCTCCGATCTGAAATACTCGTCCTATAAGCTGCGAGACTACTACTTGGCCAATTAATAATAGCCAGGCCCACCAAAGAAGCTAGTCGACTGGATACGAGCCTGGGAGGACGGGACAGAGAACTATAATGATTTAAATAATAATTCTATAATGCCTGTGACGGCTGGTGTCACATGGTTGATACGGACGTGGTTTCAGCCAAAGGGGTTGGTTTCAGCTAAGGTTCCAAGCTATGGTTCAAACCAAGCTCGCTTCCAAAGCTCGGCGTTTCAGTGGTTTTGGCCATACCTACTTATCCACTGCCACACCTCACTCCTTCTCTCCTTAGCTTTAGATTCTCAAGACATAGGAAATCATTGATCTTTGAGCCTCGTTCCATTGCTCTGTTCCTCCCGTCACAGTGCCTACCCGCTTGAGGACAAGCTTTTTCCAAGAGGAGAGGTAATATTACAATTCCATGCTCTACCTAGCCTGGTATTTGGTATTTGGTATCTGGTATCTGGGGTCACATGACAGTTACACATAATAAAGCTAGGGAAAGCTATACTTCAGGAAATTTAGGACGCTAAGCCTCATTAGGCCGAGCCACAAGCAAAGAACTATAAATACTTAAGGAACCTTAGCTCGAGACTTCCTTTCCTCCTTAGCTTAGTTTTCTCGATAAATAGTTCTCTTATAAGTGCCTTATCCGTAGGCTCTCTTTATAGGTCTATAATAAATTTAATACTATAACTTCTATTTCTAAGTCTAGTACCTCTAATTTAAGTATAAATAGCTATATTTATAAAAAGAATTATCTAAAGTAAACTAAAAAGCTTAGTATTTAAAAGCTTTTAATAAAGAAAATAGAGATATTATAATTTTATTTCCGAAAAAATAATGTATTAAAATATAAAAATCTAGATAATAGCTACTTTATTTTAGCCTCTTAATTCTTAATAGCAGACTTCTTAATATAGCTTGAATTTTATAAAGTATTAGCTAAATATTCTATTTATTTAATTATTTACTCTTAATTAGCCTAATATTATATTTCTAGAAATATTAATTACTATTAGTATAAAGGTAATACTAATAATCTAGCTATTACTAAAGCTTTAAATAGCAAGTTTTTCCTTAATAAAGAAAATCGGAATATTAGCTATATTTTCTTTATAAATTATAAGAAAACAGCTTTTTTTAATAAAAAAGTTTTTAAATATATTAATTATTTTTTTATTTATAATAATTTTAATTTGAAAGATATAAAGGAATTAAATAAGTATCTAGTAAAGAAAGTAGAAAGAAAATATCTAAATATAAAATACTTAATTAGATAAATAGATATCTTTAGCTAAATAATTTATAAGTCTGGAATTATAATTAAATAATAATTCTCGAATAAAATAATAATTAAAGAATAGCTTAATAATAATTTATTATTCGAAAAGCCTAATTATTATTTAGAGCGAAATATATAAAAATAGAATCTTCTATAAAGTTATTAAAGCTTTTTATTAAAAGCTTTCTTCTTTTACTAAAGGCTAATTTAAGAATATTAAGGGTAATATAAAATTCAAAGAAGCTATTTATTTGAAATATATTAATATAATTTATTATAATAAATTACTTTAATATCTAGCTATAAAGACTAAGATTAACTAATAATTAAAAACAGATATTAAGTAATAAAAAGAACTATATTATATTTAATATAAAAATATAATTAAACGAGTTCGGATTATATTTAAATATATTCGAAAATATAAAATAAAATAATTTAAAACTAATAGATTATATTTTCGATATATTAAGGAGAAATTAGAAATACTAGTAAAAGAAAATTCTAATTATTTTATTATTTCGGATTCTAAATAGGGATTTTCTATTAGTTTTTAGTATTTAGGAAATAAATATAAATAAATAAGAAATCGAATATAGTATAATAAGCCATATTCTATTAAAATTACTTTATTTTAATAGTTTTAATATTTTAGTTATATAATAAAGGCTAGAGTCTTTTATATATAACTTATAGAAATTATATAAAAAAGCTAGCTTTTCTATAGTTCTAAATAATAATTCCTTTTTTATATTTATTTAATTAAACTTTAGTATATTATATACTATTTATACTTTACTATTTATGCCTTTAATCTCATTATTTTACTATTAAGTCACGTTTTATACTCTAGTATATTTTATATGGGTTTTTGTTTTATTATAGTTTCCTTTTTATATTATATATTTATAGGACTAGTATTTATAAATAAGGAAAAAAGTAATATAATGAATTAAAACCTGATTTATATACTTGGCTAGAAGCCTTTATTAAGTTATATAATAAAGGCCAAAGCCTTTATTATATAATATATTTCCTTGAATTAATAGAATAATTATATATTATTTAAAAGAGCTCGAATATTTCAGGGAATATAATTTTATTTCTTCCTGTTTTTCTCTTTTTTATTCTTTAAAGAATTCTATTTAGTCAAATATATTACTAGTTTTCTTTATATAAAGGCCTGGCCTATAATAATAATATTTTATAAGAATAATAATTATTTTATATATAAATTAATTAATTATAAGTTTCGGCTATTATTATAAAGTAATTTATAAATAATATCTCTATTATTCGGGCCTAATTACTTTTATATAGGTTTTATTAAAATCGAGAAGTACTAATTAGAACCTTATATAATATTAGCTATTAAAATAACTAATTATAACTTTTTATTATTAAATAAAATATATATATAAATCTTATTATTACTATTTTTATAAATAAAGCTATTAATATAAAATAATAAAAAAGAAGAAAACTAGTTTCTAATTAATTTATAATATAATAATACTTTCTAAAATAATTAATATATAAAGAAATCCTGTAATTTATATAAAAGATTCGTTTTTATTTTATATAATTCTCTTTTTATAATACTCCTATTAATAGTAGTAATACTTTAAATATAAACTACTTTTTTTAATTTAATAAATATAATTATATAACGGAACTTTACTAGACCTTAAAGTTAATAATATTATTAAAACTATTATAATTAAAATCTTCTAACCTAATAAGAGCTTAAATTATTATTTTTCTAATAAAATATTAATTATATTATATTTTATATATATAATTAATTTATAAACTTGCCTCTTTTTATTATTATAATAAAAAGAAATTTATAAGTATTATATTTAAAAGCTAAAACTAGTAAAGAAGCTAAGATTTCTATATAATTCTATATATTATTATTTGTTTTTAAATTAATTTATAATATTAATACTATTTATATTATAGTTATAATTACTAATAGAGAGAATAATAGATAATATAAGCCTAGATATAAAAAAGTATTATATAATATTACGTGGTACTAGTCACGTGGTGCCACTGCACGTGACTTAGCGTGTAGCCGGTGCTTTAGCCAGACATATAACCTTTAGCTTAATTCAAGCTCTTTATTACTATTGCAATATTACCTTATTATAATATATAACTTTAATAGTAATATAATTTGATTTGTAATAAACTAGAAGTATTTTAAAAAGTTTAAAAATTGCTTTTATAATTTTAAATATAATTATAATAGTTTTTAATTATTATTGAGATTAAAGCTAATATTTCCGGCTATTATAAATTATTATTATAAGCTTAATACTTATTTAATTCTACTATATAAATAATAAAACTGGCTCTCTATTCTTATTATTCTCTAATATAATTAATACCTTATTCTAGAAAGTACTTAATATATATAGTTTTATAGGCTCTAATTTTATATTTATAAAATATAGAAAATAGTAAGTACTTATAATAAGTTATTTATAAAAATAAAAAAGATATAATTCTTATATAAAAAATTAAGTACAAGAATTAGAACTTCTATAATAATAATAATAAGATAAGAATATAATTAAGTATATTTCGAGCTTTAGAAAATATTATTATATAATTAATTAGTTAGTAAAATCTTTTAAAAAGATAGCTATTTTATATTTTAATAATTTTATTAAATATAGCTTTATTAAAAATAATAATACCAAGATATTAATAAAGAAAGCTCGATAATATATTTGCTATAACTAAGAAATAGAGCTAATTATATTTATATTTCTTTTTAATAATTATCTAATAATTAAAATTTAATTAAGGCTTGCCTTTTACTTTAGTAATATATATACTACTTTAATAGCGTGCTTTAGACTAATAAAGTACTAGTATAAATAAAGTTTATTTATCTCTAGTCTCAATTAATAAATTATTTATATAAAAACTAATATTTAATATCTATAAAATAATATAAAAATAATATATTCTTATATTTATATATTACTTATTTAAGCGGTTTCGAAAAGGAAATAGGAATAATAAGTAAGTAATAGTATAGCTATTACTTCGGGAATTACGTACTTAGTTTGGCTGAGGGTTTGGGTTTGGGGTGGGCTTGTGGAGTGACTTGGTATATGAGTCCCAGCCAGATGGCGGTGATGAAGGTGATGGTGTTGTATTTCATTCTGACTGCTGCAATGGAGAATTTTGGGGTGGAGGTTATGTATGGCCAAAGTTACTCAATATCAATAACTCGTTGTGAAAGTCGAACTGGTATCATGAGCTGAAGGGAAAGTAGGGTGGATGGAAGAGGAGGAATAGAAGGATATCGACCAAGAGACCTAGATAATAAGATAAACGAGATTGAATAATGGAAGAAGGTCGGTTCGTCGATGGAAGTCCGGTGATGGAGGACAATTATGTGAAGAAGGTTGTCGGGGAAGCGGAGCAGGCAAAATCTGCCAACTCAGTCTCCGTTGATGGAAAACTCGTTCCTTCCGCCAATAATTAAATCAAAGGGATCCACGCTTCTGAACAGTCATCCATGAACAAGTAATCGTCCGACACCTTCCAGTGAAGGGCTAATTTTGAATCAAAATGCCTATATAGGCAAGAACGATTTGTCTATTTGACTCAAGCTCAATGTTGACATTTATCTCTTCTGATATCTTTATTTGAATCGCTCGAAACTTACAGAAGAACAAAATGATTTATGGAGATTACTCTAAGGTGAAGCAAGGTAGTGTTCGGCTGACTTCTACTGTGAATTATACCACCCCACTGCACATTGAAATTTGTTAATGATGCAAGTCTGCCTCAAAGCTCATTGCATTTGTCCCTTGAACAAGCTTGAAAAAGACACAACCGAGGAATCACTTGAGGACATCAACTCTGTTTTGGCCACCACAAAGCTTGGAACAACCCTCACAACATAATTTGGCACTGAATCTTAGCATGAAGCATCGGTTCCCCACTCCTTCGCAATTTCAACAACCTTTCCTCTCAAGGCGCACTGAATCACGTGACCTTTTAAACCGTGGGCTTCGACTATTCAATTCAGAGGTCGTATTCTGGGTTCACTTTAAAACGACCTGAGCTGACAAGAAAAGCGAATCTCACAATGCCAAAGGACAATTGTCGAAGATGAGGAAGTATAATCAAGCGCATGATCCCCCCTTTTCTTCTCGTCCTGATCGGGCTCGGAGGTCCACCTTCCGAAACAAGAGAAAACATCCCACTTAGCAAAAGGCTCGACTCCACTGCTTCACGTACAGCAAGTGAAAATGAGTAATTTGTCTCAAAAGATCAGCGAAAGGTACAGGAAAAGAAGACCCCCACTCTATGCAGCTTACCCCGCGAAGCCGTTCTCGGAAGGAACGTTGTACCCCGCCAAGGCTGACTTTCTCTCTGCACTCCACTCTCTCTGTCTGTTCATATATCCGCATCCTGCTGCACTTTTCTCACTCGCCTCACTCTTCTAACTTCACTTTGTCTCATCCTTCTCATCCCATCCACTCACCATGGCGCCCCTCACCAGAATCCCAGTTGACAAAGGCTGGCAATTCAAACAGTCAGCCACCCTAGCCAACAACACAGCAAGCACCTACCTCCCCGTCTCCCAATTCCCCACAGTCGCCCATCTTGATCTCCTACATCACGGCCTGATCAAGGATCCGTACATCGACACCAATGAACTTGACAGTCTATGGGTGAACGACGCAAACTTCACTTACCGCGCTCTCCTCCCCTCTATACCAGCTCCCTCTTCTTCAAAGATCCATCTCGTATTCGAAGGCCTCGACACTCTCTGCTTCGTCTACCTCAACTCCACCCTAATCCTAGAGAGCAAGAACATGCACATCTTGCACCGCGTCGACATCACCTCCCCCCTGCAAAAGGTTTCAGGGAAAGAGGTGGAACTCAGACTAGAGTTCAAAAATGCACCAGAATACGCAAAGAAAGAGATGAAGAGGATTGGATACAAAGGCAACGGGACAGACGTCCACTTTGGCGGCCCCGAGCGCCTCTTCGTGCGTAAAGCGCAGTATCACTGGGGCTGGGACTGGGGACCTGCTCTTAACACTTCTGGGCCTTGGAAGCCTGTCTATCTCGAGATATTTGAACATCGAATCTCCGAACTCCTCGTCAGACAAGAAGTTTCCGCAGATCTCAAGTCCGCAACTGTGAAAATCACGGGGTCTGTTGAAGCAGGAGAGGCTGGAAAGGAGGTCGAGTTAGAGGTGAAGGCGCCAAATGGAGATTGTGTGACCAAGGAGACCATCAAAACGACCGAGAACGGAACATTCAGCACAGAATTGAATATCGAGAATCCAGACCTCTGGTACCCGTTCACCTACGGCGGTCAACCTTTGTACACCGTTTCTGCTTCCCTTCCCGGACTCGACACCCAGGAAAGAAAGATTGGCTTCAGGAGATTGAGACTGTTGCAGAATAAACTAAAGAAGGAAGAAGGAACAAGCTTCACCTTCGAAATAAACAACATTCGCGTCTTCTGCGGCGGCTCGTGCTGGATCCCCGGCGACTTGCTGCTGCCTCGCTTCACTCCCTCGCGCTACCGCTCCTGGCTCTCTCTGGCGAAATCAGGAAACCAAACCATGATAAGAGTTTGGGGCGGCGGTCTGGTCGAGTCTGACGATTTTTATGCTATTGCTGATGAATTGGGGATTTTGGTGTGGCAGGACTTTTTGTTTGCTTGTGGTGATTATCCTGCTTCTGATGATTTTTGCGAGGCGGTGAAAGGGGAGGCGGAGGAACAGGTGAAGAGAGTAGGGCACCATGCTAGTCTTGTCATTTGGGCGGGGAATAATGAGGATTATATGCTTGCTGAGAGGTGGGGGTGGGAATATGATGTCAATGATCAGGAAGGCCCTTGGGATCACACGAATTTCCCGGCAAGGAAGATATATGAAAGAGTACTGCCTGAGATCTGCGAGCGGCTGGCGGGCGATGTGCCGTATTGGAGGAGTAGTCCTTATGGTGGAAAGACTTCGAATGACCTCACAATAGGAGACACTCACATTTGGAACGGTGCGTCTAGCCCCCGCTTTCCGTATCCCCGTCCCTTTTTCACCATCCTTTGCTGACAACAGAACACAGTCTGGCACGGCAAGCAATCCCCTTACCAAGCCTACAAATCCTACCTCTCGCGCTTCATCTCCGAATTCGGCTTCGAGTCTGCTCCCTCACTTCGAACTCTCCACCAAGCAATCACCAAGCCTTCGGAACGCCACTGGCAGTCACTAACCTTCGACGCGCACGACAAGGGACCGGGTCATCAGAGACGGTACGGCATGTACAGCGGCGAAAACTTCCGCTTCCGCTTCAACCCCCTTCGAGATTTCGTCTACTGCTCCCAATTCCTGCAAGCCGAGGCCATGAAATACGCATACAACCACTGGCGTCGCGAATTCCGGGGCGAAGGAGAAGAGAACTGTAGTGGGATCCTGGTGTGGCAGCTAAACGACATCTGGCCCGGCACTTCTTGGGCGCTGGTCGACGTCAATCTGCAAAGGAAGCCGGCGTTCTACATCACGAAGAGGGCGCTGAGCAAGCTGGTGGTGGGCATGGAGCGCATCGTCACCGGCGCCACGCCTTACATGGTCACCTCGTACCCCGAGCCCAAAGAGAAAGTGCAGATTTGGGCTGTGAGCGGATATCTGAAGGCGCTGGATGCGGTGTTGAAGCTCAAGGCTTTTGACATCGAGAGTGGGAGGGAGGTCGAGCTTCCTGAGGGCGAGAGGGAGAGGAAGGTAAGCGTGAGAGAAAATGGCACGACGGAGATTGGGGAATTGAGTATTGGGACGGAGGCAGGGAAGACGGTTGTTGTTGCCTATCTCGAAGACGCGAAGACAGGCGAACAGCTCGCGCGGTGGGTAGATTGGCCTGAACCGCTTAAATTCGTGGTGTTTAAGAAAGGAGTGGAAGTCAAGATCGAAGTTGGGGAAAGGGAGAAGGAGGTCAAGATCAGTGCTGATGCGCCGGTTAAGGGCGTGGTGCTTAGTGTACCGACTGAAGAGGGAGACGATGCTGTGTGGGAAGACAACTTTGTGGATCTGGTTCCTGGGGAGGTGGTCAGGGTTGGTGTTGACGGGTTAAAGGGGAGGAAGGTACAGGCGAGGTGGCTGGGGGATTGGGAGGGGGAGGCGGGGTTTGAACTTTAGGGGTATTGGATGAAATGGAAAAGAAGTGATGAGTGAGGGATTGTGGGGTAGGTCGAAGTCAATGAGAAGAGAAAAAAGGAATAGAGATTGCTTGTTTCTGATCAAGAGATTGATTGTATATTGGCCAGAGCTTGCTTTTCTAGTCTTGAATCAAAAAAGCAAATGTGCCATTCAGCCGACACGAAGCTATTCGCAACTCGTTCCAGGACCAACAAAGAAAAAGTACACGAACGTCAATACCCTCGATGTTTCCATGCAATTATTCAAAAGTTCACCAAGCCGCTCTTTAGATAGAGCCTTCAAGATAAACTGCGCCGCAGCACAGAACCCAGGCTAGTGCTTTCGGGATAACCGTCACGCCATCCCATCTCACATCAGCCCGGAAGCCAAGCTGATCATCGCTCAACTCACGGCCTTGGGAGCAGGCCAAGGAAAATCAATCATCTAATCAGATGATTATTTTCGGCACTCAAGATGAATGCCGGTATCGTGGCTGCACGTCATACGAGAGATAAATGGAATGGATTTTGACAATGTGAAACGGCACGAGATGCTGAAGTGAAATGGTGTGTTTGGTGAAGGAAAGCATGGAACTCAACTAGGTAGGGTATAAAAACGACAGCAAAGAATTAAATTGCTCAGAAAACAGGCGAAATGAAACGAGTATTAAACTTTTTGAAGCGCCTAGAGCGACCTTGGGAAGACTCGGGTTCATCTGGAACGGAAGAAATAAATCTCCCATCTCCGCGTAATGCCTACACGTCAAACCCCCTAAGTTCTCCCCCTCCATTCCTCGCGAACACTTTGTTGACAAAGCTTTTCATTTAAAAGCATGCCCTTCCGGTAATAATTCAAAAACAAAACAAAACAAATTTCCCTCGACGTCGTCGCGAAGAATTTGATTGTCGCTCTTCTCATCGCATACAAAATTATGCTTGCTGCGTTCATGGCATGAAATGCCAGGGGGGGAGGGGACGTCGATCTCGTGATTGAAGATAGCTGCGCCGCGTTTAAATTTTTCTAGGCAGGCTGCGGGATGGCCCTGTTCCAGACGGCTTTGCGGAGCCTAGGTTTCCGGGAATACTGTGCGATACTGTACGGAGTACAGTACCCCCTATTTTTGGAAGTAGAAAGTGGGGCTCTCTCCACAGAGATTCGTATGCCAAGATTGCGTGGATATGTGGAGAAGCGGCGCTGATGGGCAGACTGGTGCAGGCAATCAAGAGGACTTCCCCTATTTTCCTTTTCCATGGAGTGAAGCTTTAGGGAATTAGGTAATGGTAATACTGTACTCTGGAAGCTGAGGTCGATTTTGAGGGGCTGGGGGAGAAAGGTCCAAGAGGTGATCGCGGGGATTGAGAGGTCTCTTCGCTTGTTATTCGAGACCCTGGTGAAACTTTCCGCTCAAGTGAAATTTGCGAATAGGAGGCCGTAGAGTGCGGCGAGACAGATGCCTGTAGGATCCATATGTGACTGTTAATGACTACCCCTTTTCGATTTGAGTTGTTTCGATTATCGACTTCATCGTGATTACTGAAATTGTCCTGCAGCGCCACTGGAAGGTGTGATGTTTGCCCCCTAACCTATCAAACTGCCACCAACGCCTTTGCCGTCAACGGTCTCAATACAAGTATTTGTCAGGATCCCAGGCTTCGACGAACTTTCGCGGAAGCCCCCGGAAAAGAAACCAGGTGACGCAAAAGAGATCTCAAAAAAATCTTGGGGTTGCAGTGGGTAACCATCTTCGGCCGCCAGTGTGGCACAGCCACTTGGCTCGCTGGTCTCCATTCGGAACATACGAGCTGCTGCTATGGAGACGCCGAGCCGGGAGGGGTCCCGCCAGAGCCCCTGCAACGATTCACCCGCCGGATGTGACCCAGTGACCGGCCCACTCAGAGGCGCACACCGATTGCCGACTGTCATCAACACCACCAGGAAACGTTTCACGACCCGATGGAAGGAGACCACTGAGTTGCAACAGAGCAGCTGCGCAGCAACGATAGAAACAGCTAGGAAAAGGTAGATTGATTAGAGGAGCAGGCTGGAGCAGGCTGGAGCAGGCCGAGGCAGGAGAACCCTGTCTGTCCTTTTGCCGTCGGGTTGAAAGCGGCCACTGGGCCACTGGCTGCGCACTCGTACCTGCATCGATAGTAGTGGCCACTGGCCAGTCCTGAGATCCCGAGTCCTGAGATCTGGTCAGGGGCGTGTGCCACTTGCACAGGCATGCTGCATGCGTCGGGGTCGTGGACTCGTGCCAACGCTCGCAGCCAACCAGGCATCATTCCTCATACAAGACCCCGTTTGACGGCCCTGCAAGCCACTCCCTGTTGCCGAATGGCAGTGCTGAGCTGTGCGCCCATATTTGCTTTATTTGTCTCGTTTCCTCCCCAACCTCTCCGTCTTGGAGGCGTCGTCGGAAAACATCCAGTTTGATTTCTCTGCACTGTGCACTGTGTTCTGCTCCTTCCTTTCCTAACTACACTCGCTCAACACTCGTTTTATCCTCTCTGACTTACAACTTCCGCTTCCGCCTTTCGGCAACCTCAACTACAACTACAACTTCAACGTCAAAACACCAACAACAAACATCTCGAAACACACAAACAAGATGCTCTCCACTCTCGCCGCAACGGCTGTGCTCTTCTCGAGCCTCAGCTTGGTCAATGGCCAGACATTCACTGACTGCAACCCTACAGCGAAGAGTACGCTCACCCTCACTCTCGCCCCCAACAAGTACACTGCTAATGTTATATAGCTTGCCCTGCCGACGAGGGCTACGGCAAAGGCAACACCATCTTCACCGACTTCACAAAGGGCGCTTCCACCAATTGGGAGATAGCTGCTGGCACCACCCTCACCTATGGAACCAGTGGAGCCGAGTTCAACATCAAGGCTTCCACTGACGCCCCCACCGTCAGCAGCGACAAATACATCATGTTCGGCCAAGTCGACGTCTTCCTGAAGGCCTCTCCCGGCACTGGTATCGTCAGCTCCTTCATCCTCGAATCTGACGACCTCGACGAGATCGACTGGGAGTGGCTTGGCTCCACGGACAACTCCGTCGAATCAAACTTCTTCGGCAAGGGCAACACCACCACATATGACCGCGCCATCTACCACAATGTTGCTACTCCCATCGAGACATGGCACAACTACAGCATCACCTGGACCGCCGCCTACACAAAATGGTACATTGACGGTACTCTGATGCGAACCCTCAACTATGGCGATGCTCTGGCTCTGAATGGAAAGAACTACCCGCAAACACCCATGCGTATAAAGATGGGCAGTTGGGTTGGATGTGCCAGCGCGGCCGCGGCCGCAGATGCTGCCACCAAGGGAACGTGCGAGTGGGCCGGTGGACCAGCAACCTTTGGCACCACCACCTGGACTATGCTCGTCGCCAACGTTACCATCAATGACTTTGGCTGTGGAGGAAAGTACACCTACACTGATATGACTGGTAGCTGGCAAAGCATCAAGAGCAGCGGAACTTGCGCTGGCTCATCCGACTCTGGCTCATCTGTCACCTCTTCCGCGGCTACGACGTCTACATCCGGTGCCGTCCTTGCCCAGACTGCTGCCGGGAACTCGACCACGATGAGCACTGCCACTGCTTCTGGAAGCACCACCAAGACAACCGGCTCCTCGTCGTCGACGACCAGTGCACCTTCTCAAGTGACAACCAGCGATGGCAACCCGACGGCCAAGTCAAAGTATGGCGTTATCGACGTTGCGGTCATTGCACTGGGTCTGGGTCTCGGATATCTGGTCATGTAAATCTTCCACCTCGGAACAATTCCATGATATTGCATGCATAAACGGATCGAATACTTTTCTTTGCCACTATTAGACTGAGCATTTGAGCAAGGCGTCGCGAGGTGGGTAACTTGCATTTTCGGAACAAGAAAAACTAAGATGGAGGGTGACCTCAATGCCTTTGGCGGGAATACATTGAAACATGGAATTGTTGCATTACATGGAAGAACGGAGTTTCTTGTGTATAATTAGGACTGACCAATAATTCAATCAAAGCAAAAACAGAACCACAATTGGCTCCTCGATCTTTTGCGAGCCTTCTGCATGCCAGCCCGATGTCCTATCAGAGCAGGTAGTCCCTGCTCCAACTCTACTTCTTGTTCATGGTTCTGGCAAGGTTGATAGTCTCATTGTGCTTGGAAAACGCGTGACAGAGGATTCAACTGGCTCTCTCATTGTCCTAGAGGACTTCCAAATACTGAAGCGAAGTGCAACAGAACTCCTCGAACACCAATTGACCAAAGGTTCAGCAGATAGGATTGAACCACCCAAACACCCCGTGCGGATCCCACTTCCCCTTCAACGTCCTCAACTTCTCTAAGCGCTCTCCGCCACCATACAAAGCACTCGGCTCCTCATCTCCGTTCGCGAAGTTGGTGTACACTCTCTTAGGACCATCTCCTTGCAGGGTATCTCGGAATTTCGTGCCATATGCGTGAGCTTCAGCGTCCATTTCTTCTTTCTCATACATCGGTATCGTAAGTCTATTCTCTCCATCAGCCTCTTCAATTCAGGGGGAGAAGCGGAGGATATTACTCACACGTACACCCCCGTCCCCCTCCACGCATACGCCGTGCTCTCATCCTCCACCTCCCTCGCCTTCTCAAACCCATAACACTCCGTCAACACCACGCTCTGACCCGCGCCCTCCCTAGCACTCCACTCAACCCACTGCTCCCACACCTTCTCCAAATCCCCTAATTCCGACTCGTCGAGACCGACACAGTACGAGGGTTTGCGCAGGCCTTTGGCGCACACCGCGTCGTTGCAGTCGTTGATGTGGGTGTACGGCGTTGGCGCGCAGATCTGCATCACGGGTTCCAGGTCGAAGAAGGGTTTGTATGCGGCCTCGGCAGCGGCGGAGGGGCCGGAGTACCAGAGGTTGAGAACGACCATTGGCTGTGGAGAGTCAGTGTCTAGTTCTTTTCCTCTCCCCCGCAAATGGGAAAGAAAGATAGAAAGGAGAGGAAGAAGAAGGTACAGTACGTACCCCAAAAGCAGGAGGCGGCCGTGCCCAGATCATGAACACACCCATCCCCTTCCCGATTCCCATTTCCTTGATGGTGCTTGTGACACGAGTAAGCATCTCCTTACTCCCGGGGAACCCCAAGGTCCCAGTCCAATGCACACCCCCGTTCTCCTGCTCATACGCCTTCACCTTAAGCTCACTCACAATCCCGAAATTGTGCCCCGCGCCCCTGATGCCCCAAAACAAGTCTTGGTTCGCTTCCTCACTCACAACAACCACTTCTCCTTTCGCAGTCACTAGTCTAGCGGAGAGGATCTGGTCGACGCCGAGACCGTACAGAGAGATCTGATTCCCCATTCCGCCGCCGAGGAGCGCGGGGATTATGCCGACTGTGTTGCAGACGCCGGTTACGATGTGTGCGGATGCCGCATGGGCGGCGTCGAGGACTTCTTTTGTTATGGCGCCAGCGGAGATTGTTGCTGTTCCCGAGGGGAGGTCGACTTTGACCTCGTTCATGAGACGGAGGTTGATGATTATGTGGGGTTTGCCGGAGAGCTTTTGGAGGGAGGAGGAGAGGCCGTGGGAGCCGGATTGTGCGAGGAAGGGGATGTTGTGAGAGGTTGCGAATTTAACCTGTGAGGAGAGGGGGTGGTTAGTTTGGGATTGCATGGGACGAAGGGAGGGGACACGAACGACGGCGCAGATGTCGGATTCGGAGGCTACGTTTACCACTGCTGTTGGAGAAGTGAAGGTGGTGTCGCTCCAACGAGCGGTGTTTTGTTTAAATTCATCGTCTGAAGGGAGGTTGATGGATGCCTTTTCTGAGAGTTGGGGGAGGAGGAGGGTGGTGAGTTTTGTGTGGAGGTCTTTGGTGGAGGGAGGGGAAATAGGAAGTTCGGATTCGGAGATGTGGACGTCCTGGAGTTTTGCGGTGGGGACTGCTATGTCGTTTATAGTTGTGTTGAGTGTTGCCATTGTGAAGATTTGAGAATTGAGAATATACTATCAGAAACTCTTGTTTGGTGGTCAACGCGAGACTTCCGTGCTGCTATATTTGTGATGTGGGTATGAAGAAAACAAACAGAAGAGAGTAGGCTTTCTTATAATCAGTGGAAGAAGGAGAGTCGGCCCACGAAATCGAAGCGCATCTCAACCGCAGAAAAGTACTTCGGTCGCTCCGATCCATTCATCCTTACCTGTGACCGCCATCTCACAACTCAAACCAAGCCACATAACCCCTCGACCTGGCCATATTGAACGTCAGGTTCCAGATCCCCACAAAATAAAGCAGCTAAGAAGAGCCGTGAACTACACAGCTTGCCTCAGCCCTGTGAGGGGCACGGCAGGCAGCTTGGCGAGACCCCGCATTGGGTGCCACAAGCAGCCAGCTTTCGAGCTGAAAACCGAACTTTTGGTTTTCCGAAACGTGCCCAGTAATGGGTCTTGATTTTATGCAATCAAAATGTCATCAGTCAACCACGCTGCGGAATCGACATCAGACAATCAATACTTGTTTCGGGAAAATGTAAACGATCCCCCCCCGGGTGTCGATTGGGGGCGTCGATTGGGGCAGGGGTGTTGACGACTTGTAATTGGCTACCTAAGCTCTTTAAAAATCTTAAGTTAGATTTTTCAATATAAGTATAAGCTAGTATATTATAACCCTTATATTATAATTACGTGCTTCCTAATTTATAATAAAAAGATTCCTTAAAATAGTATTTTAATTTAAGGGAGTTTATATACTAATTAATTAGGTTCTAGTTTTTGAGACCTACAAGGCTCTTATCTGGTTTTAGGGACTTTATCCGCTAAATTTCTAGGCTTTCTTAAGCTTACCTTTAGGCTATAAAATATGAAAATTTTAACTTCTTTACTTTAAGGAGCTATTACTAATCTAAATTTTATAAAAAGTTTATATTTGAATAGCCTTTAATTAGCGCTATAAGGAAATATAACAAGTATCAAATTATATTAATTCTTTATAAAATTGCATCAAATTAAAGAAAAAGCCAGAGTTTTGGTGTTCCTGTCCAAGCGCCTCTACTTTGGGTTAGTGGCTAGTCTGGCCCCCAATCGACACCCGGGGAGGGAAGGGAGGGGTCGTTCTACATTTTTCTATTCTTTATTGTATAAATCTTTCGGATGCTCTCGTCTCCACTCTAAGAAAGTACTAGGCAGGCGACCTCCACTAATAATTTTTGATAGTGATGTCCAAAGCTAAACTAGCGCTGCTACGTTCACCCTCCAACTCTAAGTACAGATTGAAATGTCCCCACAAAAGAATACAACGAAGCAGGCAGGTAGCTACGACAACAAATTTGATGAGACCGTGTGGATGTAAGTAGTAAACAATGGTTTTGTAACCGCGATTACTATAGGACTCATACAAACACGCGTGCTTGGGGAGCCGCAAGAACCCTATTACCGTTCGGTGTTCCGGAGGGAGTTCCTCGAACAGGTCAAAATTTCTTGCGGGAACTCGTACTCATCGTGATTGAGAGCGGAGATGCATTGTGCAAGCCGTGGAGAAGCTAGTAGTATTGCCAGCGCTGGGGCCTGGGCTTGTAATCGAAGTTTCGAGCAGTGGTTGAGAGGTGTTCGAAGGATGTGCCGGGAACGGGTAAGGAGGAGGTAGGAGGGTCAAAAGGTCGCCTCCACGCGCGCCTTCTAGCAACTGCGATTGTTAGTTTGGCATACCAAGTTCACTGGGCGCACAAACAGTAGTCGCTATAGAGGAGATGTAACGAATTAGGTGCGTAAGATGGCCGCTGGGACGTAGTTGGCAATGTTGTAGAATCCCGAACCGTCGCATGCAAGCCTCAATTTTCCATGGCCATCTGGAAGCAGGTCCGAATCATCACAACTAGAGACTACGTTAGTTGTACCAAGAGAGCTAGCATCCCTGCTTGAAACTTACCATTAAACCACGCCAGATTTCAAACCAGCCTTTGACTTTTTAACCTTAGATCTTTTCTGATGTAAAACCTTTTGTGCAAAGATTTGATCGTGTATAAACATAAATAGCACGAGAAATATTAAGAGAGTAGAAATCACGAGGACAAGAACGAGAATGATGATAGAGACCCAACGACACATCTGGGAAAATGTGTCCCAATTCCTAAAACCTTTGGGGGCACTTTGCACTGCGAGTTCTACTTGCATGGCATTGAGCGCTGTGGAGAGGAGTATGAATACAGTTAGGAATGGTGCTAGGAACCTGCCAAGATACTCATTCCATTGAGCATGGATGTGATGATAGGTCAATTTCCCAAGCAAGAAGCGCGCAAACCAGTTCAAGCGGGTCAAACGCATCTCTCCATAATGGTAACGGGGCTTGACTCTATCGTCATCAAGCTCTGCGAACGGAGCGATGAATGCTGCAAATCGCTCGTATGTGATGGGAACTTTGTCATCGGTTGGTATTATTCCCAGCTCCGCGCTCTGGGCTTTTCGAAAATCGATTTCGAATTTTATGAGGTAGGCGTATGTTCGCATGAAGCCAGCCGCGGCTTGCCAGACCTCTATGTCTGTTTTCTCGATGTATTCCCAGAAGGCAGATGAGAGGAGGTATGCCGGGAGAGGTTTAATGAATATGCGATCATAATACCATACGAGGTGGAGATAGACCTCCTCGGTGACGATAATGCTGCGGCCTCGAGCGGCTTGAAAGTGGAGCGGGGAGATGTGAGCATGGTCGGGAGTAAAGGCCTTGGAGAATGGTTAGCGTATATATCTTATTAAGTCATTTATCGTACGAACTAGCCAAAGATATGGAGCTATCTTATCGAGGTTCGGAGCTAAAAGCGCTTCTCTGAGGTATTCTTTCAGAGGAGCGTTGTCGAGGGAAGTTCGAGCTTGGCCAGGGAGGGAGTGCGAGTCCTCTTGGCCAGTTCTGCTGAGGCTGTTCTCGCCATTCGCCGATGTGATAAGAGAAAGATCTTTGTTAAGTTCAATCTTGGTATCAACTATAGGCATCGTCGCCGTCCTCACTGACTGAGATCGGTTCGACGTCAAACTTTGTTGAACGTTCTGCCAGCAATAGATGTTTTCTCGAGTGCGGCTGAAAGACCCCACCCGAGACACCAATAGGAAATCGTCTGTAAGCGCCATCGGGCACTGCCAACCCAAACAATACAGGGCGTCTGTTCAGAGTGTCAGACGACGTTCAAATCCCTCTTCACTTTTGATGACAATACTTCGAGAGATTATTAATGAACTGCCTACCTTCTTAGCTGTTATTCTATCATCGGCGGCCTCTTGAACCATCGAGGTAGAGCTGGTTAGCTTACTCGAGTATCATCAGCTCGGCTTGCCTTACCTCCTCAGCTCCAACATCCGTTTGCTCCTGAGTATCCTAACAACTAACTTCCTAAGTCCTGATACCTTAACTTTTTCCCTGGCTGCAATGGCCTCTTGGTTAGCGTATCATGCTTGGCGTTCCTTATGGCGTGTTTTTGATTTGATACGACATTCCGATTTCGCGACGGCTATTCTATTCGATTCCAGCAAAACCCACCAGTCGATCTCCAATTCTCAAACGGAATTACCATCAACTCCGTCACCTGTTTGTCTCTCCTGCTCCTTGTCTAGCCAGCCCACACACTAACAATTTCGAGGTCGTCCAGCTTCCAAGGCTTTATCCAATATTTCCCGCCGACGGCTCGAAAGGCGACTCTACTATAGAGTATGTACTATGTTTTGAATCAAAGACACAGACTAATTCATACTAGCATTATCGCAGTTCACGGTATTGAAACCACCTCTCCAAAAACGTGGACCGCATATGAGCGGGACACAGAACCAAAGGGCCGTTCCTTCTACTGGCTGAAGGATGCCGACATGTTACCTTCAGTCATTAAGAGGGCTCGAATTTGGGTCTTTGACTACAACTCAAACTATTCGCATAATGCGCAGACAGTGCGGATTGATGGTCTTGCCGCGACCTTGTTAAATTGTATCAAGGACAGGCACGATGATTTTGAGTCGAGAAAATTTGTCTTTATTGGATCATGCTTTGGTGGTATTGTGGTTGCTGAGGTAATAATATCCAGACGCGGGCTGCCAAATCAATTCTAACGCGTGAAAAACCAGGCACTTTTGGCCGCATCCCGCGAGCGGGAAGATGAACGCAAAAAGGCTGTGTTTCGCCAGACCGCTGGTGTCCTATTTCTGGGATCGCCGCTGCGAGGAACCCCAGCAGCAACTTTTGCGGGTTGGCAAAATTTCGTTTTTGGAATTCTGGACCCGAACCAAGGGTCGTCATGCACGCTTCTTGATGACCTGAAGGCGAACTCTAGCAGGCTAGAAAACCTGGTGGCAGAATTCGGAAAATTGACAGTGCAAAATCGAATGCAAGCGGGCATGGAGATACGATGCTTTTACGAAACTCGAAAAACCCAGCTGTTGAACGCGATCAGTCGGAATTCGCCATTCAAACCTGAGGAAATACTTGTAAGTCTTAAAGCCCGCTACAGACATGATTCATACTAAATGTTATGAAGCTAGTGGATAGAGTCTCCGCGTGTTTGGATTGTCACGAGCATATCCCGCTTGACGTGCGTCACGCAATGATGAATAAATATCGCGGACCCGAGGACCCGAGCTTCAAGCTTGTGTCCGGCAGAATCAAGGATGTAGTGGATAAGATCCGCGCCGACCGATCATTAACACGTGAAGAGAAAGAGTGTATGCAGGCACTTTCTTTCCACTACCAGGATCAAAAAGATATTAATCCAGAACGGGTACAGGGAACATGCGAATGGTTCCTAAAGCACCCAAAGTTTCTCGAGTGGCGCCGCGATACTATAGCAAACCTTCTCTGGGTTACCGCAGGCCCAGGATGCGGCAAGTCTGTCCTGTCGAAGGCCTTAGTGGATGAAGGGCTACTCAATCCTGAAAATCCCGACACTAAGACAACTTCAATCTGCTACTATTTTTTCAAAGACGACGCAGAGCGAGGGAGCGGAGTAAATGCTCTCCGTTCTATACTTCACCAGCTATTCAAACAGAAGCTATGGCTCATTCAACATGCAATAAACGACTACCGTACAGACGGCCCCAACCTTTCTTTTGGAACATTATGGGCGATTCTGATAAAAGCCGTCTCAGATACGAATGCTGGGCCTCTGATATGTATTTTGGATGCGCTTGACGAGTGCGAAACGTCGACGAGAAAATCTTTAATCAAGAACATTAGCAGCTTCCATTGCGCCTCAAAGACGACCAGCTCGACACTCAAGTTTATTGTAACTAGCCGGCCTTATCACGAACTGGACATAGATTTTAAAGTTGATGATTTGCCATCAATCCACCTCGAAGGAAATCAAATGTCAGAAGAAATTCGCGGAGAAATTGACCTTGTGATTAGCCATGAGATTTCCCGCATTGGCAGAGCCCGCCAACCTCCACTTGACGGCGAAATCCAGGCCAGTCTTATACAGCATCTCCAAGACCAGAAAAATCGAACCTATCTCTGGGTGTATTTGATGCTCCAGGAGGTATCAAAATCACTCGAGTCAACTAAAGGGAAGTTGATAGGACTCCTTGGAACAATACCCAGTTCTGTTGACGAAGCATACGAGAAGATCTTGAAGAGAGCCACGGATCCGATTCAAGCCCAAAAGGTGTTATGTCTAATTCTGGCAGCGGAAAGGCCGCTGACCTTGAAAGAGATGAACACTGCATTGGAGATTCTGGTCATGAATGAATGCGGAGAGAAGTATACCTCGGAGAACGACCTCGTTTTGGACAAGGAGGAAGCCTTTCGAAAGAAGATCATGAATCTTTGCGGCCTATTTGTCACTATTGTTGATTCAAAGATCTACCTGATTCACCAAACGGCTAAAGAGTTTCTTATCAACAAAAAAGGTAGGACCAATCCATGGAGTCCTTCCTGTTGGAAGTATACATTCACGCTACAAGCCTCGCATTTGGAGGCGTTAAAAGCGTGTCTGTGGTACCTTCGACTTGACTTTCAAGATATTCCAAGTAGTTCGCGAAAAGATCACCCTCTCCTCTTATACGCATCAATACATTGGACATTCCACTTCCAACAAGCCGGAGAGAAAGCCGACAAAGAGCTAGGAGAGAATGCGTTGCAAATTTGCAATACCAAGGCTCAGACATTCTTATTTTGGTATCGAATACTCCAAAAACATCGGCCTTACCATCATCTACCAGCAGAAAACAACAGTGATTTGTTAATTGCATGTTATTTTGGTCTTACATCTGTTGTACAACTTCTACTCTGGAATAAGCCTAATATTGATACCGAGTCCAAGGATACAGAGTACGATCGGACACCGCTCTCGTGGGCCTCTAAGAACGGGTACGTCGAGGTCGTCAAGCTGCTGCTCAAGAAGGAGGCCGATGTGAATGCTCCTGATCAGTCAGGATCGACGCCACTGCACCAGGCCTCAGAGAACGGGCACGTCGAGGTCATCAAGCTACTGCTCGACAAGGAGGCCGGTGTAAATGCGGCTAATCGAGTAGGATGGACGCCACTGCACTGGGCCTCAGAGATCGGGCGCGTCGAGGTCGTCAAGCTGCTGCTCGACAAGGAGGCCGATGTGAATGCGGCTGATGAAGAAGGATCGACGCCACTGCACTGGGCCTCAGATAACGGGCGCGTCGAGGTCATCAAGCTACTGCTCGACAAGGAGGCCGATGTGAATGCGGCTGATGAAGAAGGATTGACGCCACTGCACTGGGCCTCAGATAACGGGCGCGTCGAGGTCGTCAAGCTACTGCTCGACAAGGAGGCCGATGCGAATGCGGCTGATCGAGTAGGATTAACGCCACTGCACTGGGCCTCAAAGATCGGGCACGTCGAGGTCGCCAAGCTGCTGCTTGGGGTTGGCAAGGTCAAAGCCGACTCGAAGGACATAAGGGGTAAGACGCCGCTGTCGTACGCTTCTGAGCGCGGGCACGAGGCTATTGTCAAGCTTCTGCTCAAGCATGTTAATTGATTATTTACTTTATAGTATATTTATTTTCATAACTTTAATATAGAGAGGCTCAAGGGAGATGAACTTTATATATTAGCTAGGTGATTTCCAAGGCAATAGACAAGTTAGCCCAGAATATTCTAGAAGTTTCACTATCCCTTCTAGCCACCTAGTCCTATAGTAACAACTTACAACTAGTCACGAAATCTACTTATCTTAACGTTCTTCTACGGTATGTATTAATAACGCGTGCATGTGTGGAGTGCTCAAGGGGTATCGTGAAAGCTACCTGTTGCTCGCTATTGACGATGCGGCGTCTATCCCCTTCTGTTAAGGTGCTTCTAGATACTGTATCCCCGTCTAGAACTAAAAATGGACGCCATTTCCCCGCCAAAAGCTTAACTTCCTTCACCTTCACAGCTTTACAACTCACTGCCAAACAACAACAGCAGCCAACCTTCCAGCCTAAATGAGTTTCACTTTCAATGCTCTTGTCTCTGCCACTGCAAGTGCCTACGACAAGGCACATCGACTCAAGTCGAGAGTCTCGAGCCCCCCCCCCACGAGCTCTGACAGCCTCAATCGCATCCTCGAGCTCATTCCTCGACAATGTCTCCCATCGCGCGCGCAATTCATTCCGGCGGTCCAGCACCTCTGACCCCTCCAATCTGTCGTCAGTGCCAAGCTCCCCTGCTTCAAAGCCCTCGAAACCAGTATCCGCAGCTGAATCTCCATTCTTCCACCTTCCTCTCGAACTACGGGAAACAATTTACGGACTCGTTGTTGCACGGCGCGAGACACTCCACATAAGGATGAAGCGCCGTCCTAATAGACTTCTGCACCCCCTAGTGCACCGGAGGAGTCGAGCGGGGTGGGATCTTGATGAGTGTGTCCTACACGACTGCAAGCGGTTTCTCGCTGAGGGAGGGCAAGGTTGCTATTTTGGGTCATTTGATACCGTCAGTGAGCTCTTGCGGTCATGTCGGGAAATGTATGCCCTCATCCCTTCGTTTTCGTATTGCTATCAAGCTTTCAAGTGGAAAACTTCGCCTATTATTGACGATCGTCTGCAGATTCCAGGAGGTCAGCAATCTCTTCTACACCCAAAACACCTTCGAATTTGACCATCCCATGTCACTCATGATATTCAAGAAGACGGTCCACCCATCCTTGCTGAATTGCATAAAATCTGTCTCGACCAATTTGCAAAGAGATCTTTACAATCCTGGCAGGCCTACTCAAGCGTTCAAATTCCTCCGGCTTGATGTATGGCCTGAAATGTGGGACAGTATCGCTGGAATGGAGGGTCTGGAACTAACCAGAGTCAAGTTTCAATTTCCTCTCATAGGTTGGCTTGGGTGGAGCGAGAAGAAAGTATTGGAGCCTTTGGGAACGTTACCAAGCCGATGAGAGTCTTCGAAGTCGATTCTAGAACAGCGATTGGCTTCAGGCATGAGAAGACTGCGGTCGCACCCTTCAAGTTGCTGGGGAATGAAGTCTGAATGAAGCGTGAGTCCTCGTGGAGAATCTGGGCATCTTCTTGGATAGTTCCTACTCAAAACTTGGTCAAAAAGTGATAGTTGATCACTCTTTCATCTTTCAACTCCCCTCCTCTCCACCCTTACCACGCTGCGACTTCTCACACTGTAAAGTACTGTCGCAGCTTCATCATTCTATGTCTTGCTGCAATGTCATCTTTCATTGGGAAACAATGACAGTGAATGATCTCAGGATAATAATGTTTGCACTTGGTGAGACACACTGGACCGTATTTTTACTCTATAAATGTTGTCTTCTATATATCAAACACCGCAAATATATCTTATTCACGGATTCGGTGCGACGTGCATAAATACTTCGCAGGACATGTTTGTTTCTTGAAAAATCCGAACCATTACGATAAACTTTTTGGATTAGCATCGCACAAAACAATTACCAAATTCATCGGTTTCTGCGGGCTTACAAAAGACATACAAATCTTCAATGAATCTCTTCAACTTCTTGGTCGCTGGCTCGGTCTTCTTGGTTTTATTGCTTCGGACTTGCATTGTGTCCGCGGATGTCATCCTCTATAATTGGTAACGCCCCCCTCCTGCTAGCTAAACACTTAAGTAACCAAACACACAGGTGTCCATTCCCTGTGTATGCCTGGTCAATCATTGGACCGGCTGTTAGTGAGCGTTTCACCGTTTCCAAATTGTCAGAGCAACGATTCCCAACATCAACACAACCATCGGTAAACATCAAAATGACAATCGACCCGGATCTTGGAAAAGTTGGAACTGGCCAGTTACAATTCGAGTACACGGTGGACAATAAGGCCACGTTCCGGACCTATTGGGACTTGAGCATGATCGATGGCTACATCGTCCAGCAACCACCTCCTACAGTAATCCCAAGTCCAATCCCGAACAAACCAGGAAACATATTCTATGGGCACCATGTAACGGTCACACCGAGAGGGAACGTCGAAGCCGGGAACTCACTCTCGAAATGCAGACAGGTCTCGACTCCTGACAACAAAGGATTTAATGACAAGCCTGATAATGTGTATTGGACGCCCTATGATGACCAAACCTCCATGCATGTATGTTCTACCTGGGTCCCACTATTCTCTAACCATCTACCCTAGAGTGAAGGGCATGTTTGCTAATGGATCCTCATAGGACTGCCCTGTAGGCTTTGGAGACTTTCTGATAGACCTCTGTGGATTTGTGAGACCTTTTCCGGCCTGAAGGACGAGAGATAGATTTTATGTGTTCATGGGATCCTTTAGATTGCCGGTATGGGTGTCAAACGTGGGATATTTGTATATTACTACCCAGGAGACTTGCTCGAGTCCTACATGCTTCGCAGCTACTGGACTTCGAACCGGATATGCGAAGAGTTTTGTTTACAAGCTCTCATTACAGCCGCTATGTTCTTACTGCCCCTTCCCTTTGCCCCGCATTTTCCTCACTTCTCGATGCCATCTTGTGACTCTTACTCACTGATAACTAGCCCCAAGCACCCCAGGCACCCTCTCCTTCAAATCAAGCAAACACTGCCCAAACAACCCATTCGCCCAGCTAAACCACTGCCTCGTCCAATCCCCTTCATCAAAACAATTAATACTCTCGTGAATCAGCCCCAGTCCAGCCGTCGAACTGACGAGCTCTGTGAGCGTGGTCTGGATTTCGGAAGCGGAGGAGGTCGTGAAGATGCGCACGATGCTGGCCATGGGCCACGCGTAGCCGAAGGAGACGTGTGGGCCGCCGACCCTGATATACATGTTAGGGAAAGCTGGAATTTCAGGGAATGAGGGGAGGAAAAGGGGACAAACGCGTTTATAACCGGCCCACGCATGTAATAGGGGTTATCTTTGCTGAGGATGAAGCGTCTTGTGTTTTGATACACGGCGTCTGTGGCGTTTAGGTAGCCTATGAATGGCGCGCTGAGGAGGGAGGGGATGTTTGCGTCGTCCATTCTGTTCGCTGTCCACCGCCAGCATCAGTCACGAACTCCAAGCTCGCAAGGGAAAGAAGTCAGGGCTATACCAGAACCAAATCCATCAACTTCAAAAGCGTAGACTTGGCCATATGTAGGGTCGTTTACGATTCCGTGCTGGGTGACTGCACGGCGGATGCTTTGGGAGAAGTTGTGCATGTGGTTTGCTAGATTCCGTTGTCCGCCTATCGCGGCCATGATCTCGGATGCGGAGTCGAGATACCGGGAGAACATCATGTTTGCTGGGATGAAGAGTTGATAGATGGTACTTGATACCACGGTCAGCCCAACCACTCTAAAGGGGTTGGAGAGTTCGAGACATACGCATCATCACTCGGTCGAAACGCGCTCCTCACCAGTCCAGTGCCATCCTGCACCGGATTCCCCCTCCCACTATTACTCAGCGTCTCCGTCCCACTCGTCGTAGTCCGCATCCACGTATATGGTACCGCATTCACAGACCCATTACTCGCATACATACCCACTAACAACGCCTCCGTCGTCTCCAAGATTATCTGCACAGCACGCACCCACTCGAACCTCGCAAAGAACGCCACATCCCCCGTCGCCTGGTAATAGTTGGTTGAGATTTCGAGGAAGGCGGCCAGAGAGTCGAGCTCGTATTTGCATTCGAAGACGGTGGCGTTTGAGATGGGTGGCGTGAAGTTGTCCGGTAGTTCTTGATTCCTGGTTGGTGAGAGCCCGGATTCGATGGGTGGTTGGAAGGAGTTGCAGTGCGGGGCGGAGAGGATATACCGTGCTTGCAGGTTTATAACACCGCGATAGAGAGAGGCGAGACTGGAGGTGGAGGTGTTGGGTTTGAGGAGCGTGAGGTATGATTGCATCTGGTTTGCGGAATCGCGGAGCCACATTGCCTGCGTTGAGTTAGTATTTCCTTCGTGACCTCTGACTCAAGAAATGATTCGAAATGATTGTATGAAACCAAGACGCGTAATTCAGACTTCAGAAATTCACAAAGGCGTACATTTATATCCCCCGTGATCAAGAACGTCAACTCTTCCTCTGCATTACTCGCACTAACCCCCTTCCACTTCACAGCCGTGTCAAGACTATTCGGAAAACTGTTCTCGAAAAGGCGATACAGATCCGGATCCTTGATCACGTCCTTCATAGCTACAATCGCATCCTCGACATCTGAAGAGTTAAACATCCTGCATGCTGGCTCTGGCCTCATGTATGGCAAACTATACTTTCCAGTGGAGAAAGGCTCGTGCCGTTGCTGTGAGTAGATTGAGTAGTCGGGACATTGTGCCTTTACCGTCACAGCGGGTACGAGGACGGTGGCAGCCAGCTTTAGGAGGCTGAGAATGTCTTGCATGCTTGATAGATTGATCGCGACAAGAAGGTCGAATGAAGAAGCGGGCCTCCTGGTGCCTTACGCCATCGCGGGAGTGGATGCCATGATATATGATCGGACGATCGATGGCTCAGGTACCAGATACCCCGCCTTTTACTCCCTGCCAATTACCCCGCTGACATTTGGCACGCTGTGCGCTGTGCGGGCATGTGAGACGAACTGGAGCAGGTTTTTGAGGCTAGAAATGCCGATCACAATCACTGGATCGTGTGGAGCACCGGAGAACAAGTACGAGTAGCGGAATACAAGTACAACGTTACAATGCCAGCACTTGCTGACCTTGTTTGTAAAGATATGATGCGGGGAATGGAAGAACAGTCGGCCCTTTCGGGTAATAGAGAGATTGCCATGGGGATGAATGTTTGCGGTGAGATGAGATGAGGTGTCGTTAGGGAGAATGACTAATATGAGATGCCTGCCCTCGCTGGAATTGTGACCGAGACTGAGAGGGTGAACACGTGATCGAGCCCCTTGGATGTGGTTCCTTGATTGGGCTAGTATTAGCTTTAGCCGAATGTTTCCATCATATCGTGAAGTTCCAACATGTTGATATTCGATTCTCCTCTTTTCCGATGCTCAAATTTTCATTACGGGAATCACTTCTCCGATTTGAGGGAGGCCCAGGACACGGCGTGTATATGTTTATTTATTTATGCGAGGCCAAGAACGACATTCGCTGCATAGCAAACCCCCCATGCTTCCTCTCCATGCAAATCGCAAAATCATTCGACCCCTATGACCCCGAAGACGACTTGGCCCTGTATATAGAGCCTCATATGTAAATACCGGGGAATATTATAAATAGATCCCCGCTCCTTTGTTCCTCGTATACTCCATATCACCTAAATGACCCATATGACTTTTTATATCGTCTGTAAATATATAAATAATGAAAAAAGGTGCTTCGAATAGCGCGTTGCAGTTGCCGCGGTCATGCCAAGAACCAACCGCCGTTTTCCCACTGCCCTGGTGTATATAATGCGTTTCTTCTCAGCTCAGGAGACTTCACTCCTCTTAATAGAAGGCTTAAGCGCTGCACGTTAATTGGTTTCAAGAGCCAAGCGTCGAATCTAGCAAGATGTATTAGTACAACCTCAAGAGGTCAACGCGCATGAGGAAGACACTTACCCGCTTTGCACGTAGTCATATCTCTTGTCCTCAATGAGCGAAGCCGACACAGCGATGATAGGAACTCGTGGACGAGTACGTCTCAGCTCCTCGATAAGTTCTGTCTCGTACTGACGGATCATTTTTGTGGATGATGCGCCGTCTACCAATGGCATCTAGTCGAGGTCAACCAGAAACCAAAGCTATGAGCGAATTAGACAACATACCTGCAAATCCATAAGAATAACGTCGACAGTCTGCGGGTTCGAAGCAAAATGATCACGGCATTGCTGGCCATCGAGTGCCAGGTCAACCTCATGGCCTAGCTTCTGTAGCCTGCGGGTGAGTACCTTCGCGTTGACGGGGTTATCTTCGGCGATGAGAACTGAGAGACAAGGACCTTGAGGCTCGCCATCCATCCGAGGAAATGGAAAGTTAGATGACGAAGGGTCCGTGCTTGATTGACTGCTTAGTGTGCCGCTTGGCTCGTCCCCAGAGGTCATGTTGTCAGGTTGTTGCAAATCTGGTGTGGGTGAAATGACCCCATCTGGAAGTATGGTTGGTCTGATAAGCTTGGATTTCGTCTGTCCGGTAAATTGCGCTGTGACAACAGGTGCATCGCCTTCAAAAGGTACGGTTTTGGGCTGAGGGGCCTCGTCTGGCGATGGTGGGACGATTTGCGCTGTAGGACTTGTTTCCGGTGCGTGTTCAAAAGGTAGCTCGATGCCAAAGATGGTTCCTTTACCCAGTTCACTCTGTACCCTGATTTGCCCTTTTAGGTTTTTGACATAGCGCGCAACTACAGCAAGCCCAATGCCGAGTGAACCCCCCTCACATGCGATGGATATTGGCGTGTTAGAATTAGTAATTATTTCTTCGTCATTGACTTGCTCAAATTCCTGGAATAGATCCTGAGAACCAACGAGTTAGTACAAGGAATTTGCATATGTTCACAAGGACTCACATCTAGTTGACTCTCTGACATGCCAATTCCCATGTCTTGAACCGTGATGCTGATGATAGAAGTGTTTCCTTCTATGCGGATAGGTCGGATATCGACTTTGATACCGCCTTCTACCGAATGTTGAAAAGCATTGCTGGTAACGTTAGATAGGACTTGGCGAAGACGGGCGGGGTCTCCTTTGATCATGTCCGGTAAGCCTTGATGTGCTGACACCGTAAGATCCAGGCCCTTTCTAATCGCTTCATGCTTGAAAGAGTTTAGAGTATCCAGAATTGTTCCAGTTAAGTCGAACGAGTCTTCTCGGGAAGGAGCAACGCCATGCTCTATCTTCGTGAGGGAAAGGAGGTCATTTATAACATAGACAAGTGAGTTTGAGGCAGTTGATACTTTCCCCAGGATCTCTCGTGTGTTGTCATCAATCTTGTTTTCCAGAGCCATCTCTAGGTAGTTCACGATGGCGTTGAGTGGCGTCCGAACCTCGTGGGCTGCATTTTGGATCAACAACCTCGTCATCCTGTTTCTCTGCCCTGCAGATTCTTTCTGCCTCCATATTTCGATAAACCTGCCGTAAAGCAAGCTCAGAACGGAAGCAGTCTCCATCTGATCTTCAGTCCATTCCTTACTCATTCCCCGCACGGTCTCAGTCCAGCGCTTGAAACTCATTCTTGGTTCGAGGTATTCACTCCCGGGTTTGTTTACTTTCTCATATGGATTGCCCGCCCATCTGACCTCCCGTAATTCCCCTCGGCGGAAGAATACAAGGAAGTCACTTCCTGTAATGCTCAATGGGACAACCAAGAGCCCAGATAATGTGTGGATGCCCGGAGGATAGCTGATATCTGGGAATTCGCTATTGATGTTCTTGCATGCATGAACAGTCGTGAACCTGTGCATCTGCAAATATGCAAGAATTGCCAAAGCCTCTCGATATGGTTCTAACTTCCCAATAGCCCTAGCTTCGCCTTGTATGCTAAGGAGGCCAAAGTCGGCTCCGAAAACTCGAAGCAAGTCGGCAGAGGATGCTGCTATAAAGCCAGCTGGATTCTGTGTTGGAGGAGTCGTAGTGGGAGGCTTCCGAGACTCGATTCGTTGCAGCATGAGCAGTCGTTCGATGTTAGTTGCTGCACAATCCCCTATGTTTCGGCAGAGTTCACGTATTGGAAGTGTGACCCGTATTCCAAGATCTCCATAGCCATGACACGCTACCAGGCCCCAAAGGTCGGAGTTTATCAGGATCGATATGGACATGGACGATCGGACTCCCATATTCCCGAGATATTTCAAATGAATTGGTGACATTGCCCGCAGATATGAGTGTGTTAAGTCAAGGGGAACTTCGAAGTCGGTCAATTCGCGGCAGACCTAGTCTGTGAGTTAGCTTTTGGCCGGCATGATTCACAAAGCAGGAACTTGGCAAAACAAGCATACCAATCGAGCAGTCTCTGCGTCCCGATCATACAAGATGCGGATGCGATTGATTTTGTAGAGTTCCCGGGCTTGTTTTGGGATGTCGGATGCCGGAAAGTGCAGTCCTGTTACTTAAGTTAGTACGGGGTGGAAAGGGGATCAAGTTCTACTTACCCCTGAAGAGATCATCGCTTGCTTGGGGGTTGACCAGCTCTGCATCCACGCAACCATTCTTCTGTGAATCAAAGCGATAGAGCATCACACGATGAAAGCCAGTGAGTTCTGCTACGATACCTACTACAATATCCAGAACTTGCTGCACAGATTTTGCACCCGCGAGCTGCTGCTGTGCTTGAGTCATTGCATTGAAAATATCCATCGAAGAAACACCATACTGTTTCTTCCGTCGTGCAATCTTGGTAATCCTGAGGGGGAAACTCTTTGTAGTTCTACTTTTCTGTTGCTCTTCTGGTGGGACGTCGATATCCAAGGTATGGACCGGGGTCGGGGGAAGGGTCTTCTGATAGTCCACTTCTGGCAAGCTGAAAATCTCGGTATACGGTTCGAATTCGAGAATCACCAGATCCTGACTGCCGTTTGCGATATGCAGCGCACACCAAAGCTCGTTTTGTGCGCCTGAAGGCAATATAAAAGTGGCATGAAACACGTCGAGCTGGGTATCCTGGGTTCTGTCCGGGTGTTTGTCGTTACTTCTCTGCTTGAGAGCGTTGTGTATTCTTGCAAGAAGATCCTCTTGTGTCTCAGAATCGAGTATGTTGATAAAAGACTTCAGTCGAAAGAGCTCTTCCGGCCCGTACCCCAATAGAATTCGCGAATTCTCACTGGCTATCCGGACTTCAAGATCGCGGTCTTCGTGGTCATTGAATTTGAGGGCAAGAAGGACACCATACTGCTGAACTGCACCTGGCGTATGGATAGGCTCATCCTCACATCTTTGAAAAGTCGGAGTGGTCCGATCTGAAATGATGCCAAGGAGAACATCCGGTTTTCCGTCTGTTGTAGGTATCAGTCTTGCCCTCTCAGTTCTCCTTCTGCCGTGTCCCTCTCCATCATCCAAGTATGATTCGGAGAGTTTTCGGATGGTGTCTCCTGGAGGCACTTTCGGGTATGGAGGAGGGAGCGAGGTGGATTTGGGCGTAGCATCTAGTTTCTTCGAGTCTTCGACACCACCTTTCGAGGATGTTTGGGCCGGAACTTTAGATGCCAATTCACCAACTCCTTTCGTTTCTGCAATCGGATGATGCAGCACTTCCTGCGCCAATGTGTCCCTTGAATCACCAACTAAATTGCGGATTGGAAATATCCGTTCAACTGTGAATTCCGTGGGGGGTACAAAGACCACCGCCTTTGGAGAACTTGGGTCGGGCATTACTCTGGCCTGGCATCTTTGACGGTACGGGTCGTGGAGCTCGACGGGTGCGTAGAACGTTGAAAGAAGGTCTAGGTTGGTCGTGGTCGTGGAGGCGGGCTTTTGACCGGGAAAAGAGGTCCCGCGATATTACTGGATGGGGAATTGTATCTTCGGGGCATCCAGACTCCAGTTGCCACAGTGTGGCTTGCGAGCTGACTACTCTCCGTAGGGGTCCACAGTCTAGACCTAGCCACGGAAATCAGCCCACTTTCTCGGAAAAGAAGCAACTATCATTCTCTCCCCTGTAGAAGCGATGGCGTTGTGAAGCACATGGGACTTTTAATTGTCGATCTCGATGTCAAAACCTGCCAAGCGACATGGCCATCGAGGCATCGTGTGTGTAGAGAATCACGAACTATGCCGAGTTCTGTCGGACAACTCCACACGTCCCGTGCGTGAAGTTTTGAGGATATTTTGTTTGGCAAACAGGTGACCATGATTCGTATTTATTTTGTGCAATCATCAGTAGGTTATGATATGATAGGTGGATTTCCGCTGAAGACAAACAAGAAAGTTCGAAGGGCTAAATCAACGACGGGAAGCTAGCAGGAGCTACCGGGTACCCTGGCAAAAGCTTGTCGTCACGTGTCATCGAATTGCGGCTGTGGGAAATAGTGTAGAACTAGCGAGACAGCCGCAGACAAGGAACGGGAGCCAATAAAATCCGAATTGGCCTGTGCCAGCCTGGAACACTCTGGTCTCGATAGTTTCCCTAGACACGTTTTATGCATCTCAGGTGGTCAGGAACCGAAGAAGCACCTGTTTACCGTACGCGCCCCCTGCCTTCACTCTTTCCTCTCAAGTACTCGCTTACAATGCTAAGCATAAGGTAACTTCCTGCTTATCGCAGTCTCAACAACAGCTTAGGTTTATTGCTCTGTTCTAACATCACGTGATTCTCAAGAAGAACAAGAAATCTGGAGCTACTGCCCTTTCTATTTGTTACTCGTATAGTGGAGCATGTTGAGCACGCTCTTCCGTTCTTATGCTTTCGCCCATTACCCTCCAGATCATACTTTGGTCTCTGCCCAATGCGGTGAGATCCCCTGGAAAATAGCTGTACAAGGTACGCACAACACAGCCCGGTTAGCCCGAAACGGTCCTGATTGTCAATGCGATCATGTCTAGTCTACGTACACGTGGTGTTTGAGTCATGGGCTGTCGCTAAGAGTTGTTTGGAAAGTTTTTTCCACCCCGCCTTTCTCAAATCTAGTCGGTGGTCGGATCCAACACTACCACATCACTTCTCAAGATCTCCTACTTCTGCAGTCATAGCTTCTTTCTCCCGCTTCCCGCTCTTTCTTGAACTCGGCTCCGTGAAGATATCCAGACTCTTGATTTCTCTTCTCTGAGACCTTCGATTTGTAAAACGACGGATCAAGTTACTTATAGCAATCACCCAAATGAGATACATCTGCGGCTCAAAATCATGCTAGAAGCCTTTCATTTATCGCGTGATTATCTGGCTTATTGTCTATCTTGCCTCTTCTAATTGAGCTCCTAAACCTTTCCTTTTTGTTCGAAATCTTGAAGTGTCGTAAAGTTCCCTTTCCACTCGCTTGGCAAATTCACCTCATAAAATGTACACACCGAACTCTTCTTTTCTTTTCCCTCTCCCTCTCCCCAACTTCTCTCTTCCCACACCCACACCCACACACCACATCTTAACCCCTCGCCGACTCCCAAGCCCTAACAAAAACCCCCATCCCCTGCACGAACCCCTCCCTCCTCGGTGTCCATCCCAAGATAATCTTCGCACGTCCACTGCTACAATTCCCAGTCGTGCACATCGCCCTCGTAAACAAATCCTCTCCAGCACCAACCAACTCTACTCCCCCCTTCCACCCCAACTCCCTCGCCGCGGCCCCCAAAATGCCCCTCATGTCTTCCTGACTCGTCTGTAAATCAAAGACAGGGTAGACACCCGTGCCAGCTATCATGCTCAACTTATCGACCGCACAGTGGAAGCCAGACGCCACATCATCAACATGCACCAGGCCTGGTCTGGAATCATCATCTGCTTGGATCTTCACCGCCGCCGAGGAGGCTGAATTCCCCTCTCCTTGACCCTGAGCAGCTTGCAATAGGGGTGAGAAGAGAGAGGTCCAAATAGCAGATGAGCGACCGTATACCAGTGCAGGCCTCACAATCGCAACGTCCAACACATCCCTCGCGTTAAGCACCTCTTTCTCAAGTCCAGTGCGCCAAGCCACGAGTTCTGCCGGCGGTAACGGAGCGCTTGCTGTTCCGACTGGCATGAGGTCGTTCACTGGGAGGAGGGAGGAGCCATGGACCCAGGTCCCAGAGCAGTAGATGAAGCCTAGCTTCGGCACCAATACTCCCTCTCGTTGAGCATTCTCGAGTCTCTCAGCTCCGGCTTTCTTTACCAGGTTGAGGAGGTCGAAGGTTTCTTTATCGGCACCGGCGACGTCGACGATGATATCAATTCGATGGGTTGCGATGGCATTGATGAGGGAGGGAGAGGTGAGAGATGGGGCGAGGATTGAAGTGATCTCATCTCGTTGCAGAGCTTTAGCTTTCTCCGGGGTGCGGGCGTGGCCGTAAACGAGGCGGTTTCCTGACCGGAGGAGGGATTGGGAGAGTGCGCTGCCGATGTAGCCTGTTGCGCCGAGGATAAGAATGTTTGGCATTTTGGATGAGGTCGGAGTTGGGTGTTAACGTGGTTTGATTGAAATTATTCTGTAGTTTCGAAAGCCGGAAAGTTCCTTGAAGGAGGAGAAAAGGTATTGAAAATCGGATTGTGATTGGGATTTAAGTTGAAAGGTGAAGGAAGACAGTGAGTAGAAGACTTTGAGGTAATTATATACTATTCACTTACTCCGTGGAGAATTCCCAAAATCCGACAATGCAATATGATTATATGAGACTGCTTCCGGTCTAAAGTCCGAAGGGGTTTAAGCGTGGCTTGCCGGCGTTAAAGGAGAAAAGTCCGAAGGAGAGTAATTGGCTTCCTAAACCCTGTGGAATATCCAAATCTAAAAACTGTTATTCATGGAATGACTTCAAAATGATTACTGAACTTTCAAGGGCCTTTGTTCGGCGCGGATCGACGACACTGGGGAATGGATGAAAGTTAAGCATGTGATCACGTGACAAAAGCGGACTCGCGGGTTGGTGAGAACGAAAGATCCATTGCCTTCGACATGTGAGGTAAAGCTTTTTGTGCAACTGTGATATGGGTGAATCCAGGCAATATTTGACAAATGGTGACGGCGAAGTAAGTGAGAATAAGAGCGATCCGTACCTCATCCATTCAACGAGTAACCCATCGTCTTCTCATCATACTGTCCCATACTCAGCAACCTCTCCCGCATGTCTTCAGCTCTTTTTTGGTCCTTCTCACCCAGGACACTCAAATCGATATCAGAAACCCACTCCCCAATTCCATGCTGCAGCACATTTCTTGCTCTGAGATTGCTGCCTCCAACATGGCCCATACTTCCATGCAGCGTCATTCTCTCCTGGCTACTAACATACGCCCCTCGGTGCAGAATATTGTTGTTGTAGAACACCACATCTCCAGCCTTCATCTGCACTTTGATCTCTCCCGGGATATCCTTCGCAAATGGGTCTGCGTTCCGCTCCACGTCTGTTCGGGCACGCTTGTGACTGCCAGGAACAACAATGAGGCTGTCATCATCGTACAACGACAAATTCCACTGCGCATGCCACGCCGGCTCCTTCAGTCTCTCAAGCTCCTCCTCCGCCGTCGCCGTAGCCTCGATATCATCCCGATGCCACCGCAATTCAAAATCGCGATCGGGTCGAATCAACAGATTGAACAACTCCATCACCAAATCCTCGTCCTCGCATTCCAGAAGCTGCTTCACAACATCGATGATTGCGGAGGAGAAGTAATTCTTGATGAAGGTTGGGGAGTTAGGCAGTTTTGGGTGCATGAGAAATTGCACGCCCCAGATCCCACCGGCTGCCGGGTTCACTCCCGGCTCGATGTTCCAGGGTGGGAATTGCTTGGGGAGGGTGCGGACCCAGGCCCAGTTGCCCGAGCGAGCGAGGTCGATAGTTTCTTTGCTGGCGGTACGGAGGGTGGTGATTTGAGCCGGGGTTAGGACCGAGGGGATGAGGACGAAGCCGTCGCGTTCGAGGGACTCGAGGTAGTTTGGTTTGGACATTCTGGGTGAGTGGTTGAAGTTGACAATGTTCTGAGGGTTGATGGTGGATCACGATGCGTATGTAAAAGTGATGTCAATGGTAATGTGGTGGAGGAGTGGAGGTTGTTTTAGAGACTTGGTGGGGAGAGAAGATGTTGACTCCTGGTGAGTGGGTGAAGCCGGGGTTTGCTATGTAATTATCTCTCGTTTCTGGCTCAAGTGGCCCTCTCAGCCTGATCCAGAAGTTGTGGTCCTGGCCTCTTCGTCAGGTGATGAAGGTGAAGTTGGCAGGTTGCACAAGATATCAAAAGATGCACAGCACCCCGCGTGAAGCTACTGCAACCTTGAGAGAAAAAAAGGAAAGCATGTAACGTAACAACCCGGGGCAGATCGATGAGACAGGCGCGGACGCTATTTCGATTCGCCGGGCTGACAGTGTATGTGCTGTATGGCTAAAAACGTCGATATCGACTGATCCTGATATACCCCTCCATCCATCAAGGGTGGGGTCCCAAGCCTGCGGGTTCCTCACTGCATCACGTGTCGGAGTTCGGATTCGACATTCATGCCTTACTTTTATTCTGTGCCTCTGTAGCCAAGTCTTGCAACACCTTCATGGCCTCATTTGCCTTTCCAAGTGGGACGAAGCAATGGTCATGGTAGTAGCCGCTGACAGGGTTGACCCCAATCCCATTTTCGGCAAGCTTGGTGCTGATAGCGGCCATGAAACCAACTGCTTCGAGGCTGGAGTGGACATTGAGGGTGATCATCTTGCATGGGAATGTGTATTCGATGTGGCAAGTATCAGCCGAGTCTTGAGTGGTGATTATTGTGGTGCCTTCTGCTTCTCGAAAGGACATTTGGATTTGAAGAGATGGCGGTGGGAGCTTCAAACCTGGGATGGTGATGAATACGAAGGTTTCGGGGCTCATTGTCAACTTGAGAGTGGAAACCAATGTCGTGAGATTGGTTTCACCAGACGCAGCGGACTCTGTATCCATCTTTGCAAAGAGATGTTGATGAAGGAAACGGGTGAAGCGTGGAGGGAAATTTTAAATCCGGTAGCGAGTCAGGTGATCTTAGACTAAAAGTCCGGTATTGGTTTCCATCTCTTCTCTACTCTGTGGCGTGCAGTATAAGAAAGATTCTAGAAAATCCGAAACCAGCCTATCAGAATTCTTCTCTCGAAACACCATATGTACTGCCAAGCTCTCATCCTCCGTGTCTACAGAAGACACCATTGCTCTGTCGACACTATCGTTCCCTAGCCCTGTTGGCTGGGCTTACACACAAGGGCTTGAAGTCCTCACCTGAGTCACCCAAGATCTCATGTATCTCTCCTACGAAACAGTCTGCTGTGAGAGAGTACCGGGTGAAGGTGCGGAAGGATTTATTGGCGACCCTTTGGTCATGGATGAATTCGTGGCTGCAAACTCAGGAACACCACTATTGTCGAGCCCACCGGTGAAAGCGCTTGCTGATTTCGGTTAGTGTGGCCCCAATCGACACCCCTAATCGACACCGGGGCGTCTCACTCGCACTTTGCGGCCTTCCACAAATCGGGCAATCCCACCACTCCTTTTCCACCTCCTCCCCCTTCTTTGGGTTCGGCACAATCTCCTTCCCATGGTCTCCTTCTAGCAATCTCCTGACTCAGCGTCCGAGTTCCTGCATCTCGTCTTCGCGCTCTTGTCGCAAATCCGTCCATTTTCGCCTAAGGCAAGGAACACCAAAATCTCTAGTTTTTGAAAATTGCGCATCGTAGCACTACCAAGTCCGAATACTTTAAATTAAGCTTTGTATAATAGAAAAGAAGTCAAAGTATCTTTTGTTATAGTTTCGTGGTTCTGAACTTTTAGGGAATTTTATTACGATTTTTTAAAGGTGAGGGAATAATTTTCAAAACTCTCGCTTAGCGAAACGGACGGTTTTCGTTTCGGCGCGCCTTCGTATGCGGAAAGTGCATCAATCCCCAACGCAACGCCCAAAACTTTCTATAAGAGTGTTACATAACAGAAAAATAGCACGTTAATCTTTTCCAAGAATTTTATAGCGATTAAATTTAGGGAGAAATTGCGAGACATTTATAACCGCGCAGCCCCTAGACTTCCCAAATCCCGAGTTTGGACGGATTTTAATGCCCGCCGCCTTCGTAGGCTTTGCAGCATCCCGGGCTGCTTGTGCCAACGCGCTTGTGAGTTACTTCTGCATCACAAAGACCGAGATTCGGATTATCGTTAGCGTTTTGAGAAAGCCATGCCGCAGGTAAGTCGAGTGTATGACCTGTTAAAGTCTGCACTCTGTGTTGCATTAGTTTTGAATTGACATGCGATACTAACCGGTCTTCTACCAGGGGCCGAAGCGAAGATACGTGTATATATGGCAATGTGTGAGTTACTGCCCGATGGCACAGCCTCATTTCATCGAACCTGACGAACGCCCGAATAGTGTGCATGCGGGTGCTCGGGCATCGATATCATGGTCAGTGCGTGTCCGGAATGCGGTGTTCCAAGATGCACAAACTGCCATACAACGAAAGTGCAGCTTCGGTAGGATCGAGGATTTGGATATATATTGTCATGGGATGCCCTCAGACCCTCGGGTTGCCTTGTCGAAGAGGATCTAGCTTGGTCGCCTTGTTGGGCTTCATTTGAATTTTGCAAGGCTGGAGACGTGGAGTGTTGCTGTCGAGGGAAATGGATGATTTTCAGTTCGACGGTTGCTAAATTCTCTCCAATTATTCGAAGAGTGTACAGATGGAAGGCGAGCAGAGTCTTTGGAGTGCGTTGGCGTGGGCCGTAGGATCCAACTAGGAATGAACTCTCATGGTTGTGCCGCTGCCTACCCAATAGGGCTGGTTTCAAGTAACAGGAGCAGTTGCAGCTGGCACAATACCCTGAGTAGGGACAGGCTGGCTCGCTATCGTGCCTGAGCTTGGAAGGTGGGTTGAGTTGGGTGTCCATTGTGCATACCATTTCATGCTAGAGTCTGGCAATTGAGGGTTAACACCAAAGTTTTGAACACCGTGGTTCCAAAGTAGAACGAATTTGAAGACGGGGCCGTGAGTGTATCGTAAGGTAGACAGCCCCACCACCAGCTGTTATGAAATAGCTGCCAGGAAGCTTCCGCCAACCAGATCAATGAAGAACCACGGCCTGCTAGCAAGTCGTAGCCTTTGACCACAAATACGCGTCAGGAATAGAGAAAATAAAGTGGTGTGCCACGGTTGCGTGGAACTATGCCGTAAGGCACTTACTTGCAAATTGTTCACCGATCATGTGACTCTGTCTGCTTCCTCACCAGTTACGACAACTCGTGGGTATGCTTTGCCTGCATGCACTTTGCCATCATGGCTTTTACCTCCAATGGTCCAACGATCATGTGGTGAAGGCAAGTTTCACTCACCGAGCGTAACCGTGCATTCTCCTCGCCTTGGCGAGGCAGATTCCTGGCCACTTCCTCGAATCATCCTAGACAAATGTAGATTCAACAATACGCCGTCACATCTGACTTCGGATGTGCGAGTAATTGGTCAATTTTATCCCGAGCTCAGATAGAGCACGGACTGGGTTGTTTAAATATCAACCTCAATGGTGTGTCCTTTCCAAACAGCGACCAGTTCACGTGAAGACCCTCAATCGAAAGTGTAACTTCACAGGAAGATACGCAGCTTCGAGACCCCGTCGATATCAATAATCTGGGTTCGATGACGGGACATGGAGTGCTATAACAACACAATGGATGCAGTATTTGAGGATCTTTTGGCTCAGGGGAATCCAGTAGGTGACTTCAGCTGCTGTGTCCGACCTCTGGAGACTTTTTCTGACCAGGCTATCAATGTAGGAGTTGGAGGACTGGGTGAACTTTGACCGCTCATGTGAGAAAGCGTTTGGGGAGTCTACGCCACCACCTCAGCGTCATTCCAACAAGCCAGAATATTGTGAAACCAAAAATCTCAATTCTGGGACAAGTTCGATTCTGCGGTCTTCGAAAGATGTGCGTGTAAAATTTAATCTGTAGAATATCTTTGAACCCAATCTGACAGAGTAATTGACAGGCGGGAAGCAAGAAGAATGAAGATAGAAGGCTGTTGTAGCAGAAGTCTGGGAAAGTAACTACGCGACTCAACACTCGTGATCTTGTAGACATTATCCAAAGATACTCACCTTCCCGCATCTGACCCAAAGGTAGGGCTATGGGTATGAGTGACTGCATGCGAACAAAGTAACAGAAAGTTGTTTTGGGGCTTTGGAAAAGATTCTTGGGATGTTCTTCCTCGGAAGTCGAGGCTCGCTAGATCTAGGGACATTAGAATTCAATAATTCTCGCAAAGCAGGTCCTCTTCGACTCTCTGGTCTCTGCCTATATGTCGCTAAGTCAATGCAGAATTTCCTTGTCTGCCGGTTTTTGTTTACCTCCGTGAGAGTGACGTTCGTTCCTGGTATACCTCGGCTGCTGGTGCGTGAGGGGCTTTACCATAGATGACAAGCCCAGGAAGGGAGACTGTTAGAGAATTTAATAGGGAGGTGGTTATGTCAGTAATGAGCGGCTGGTGGATGTCCATACTAACAAACTGATAGTACAGATCTTAAGAAACACTTGTTGCTGATCGTTTGGGGAAGCACACCCATAACCCTTCGCCTCATCCACCGCTGCTGAGATATCTAGGCGCAGTTATACCTTACCTTCGGCGGAACCAGAGGCTCGTCTCATCAGAGGTCAAACAGATGTAAGGTGGTGAGGTAGTGGCGATGACATTTTTGATGGACAGTATCGACGTTAGATTTTTGGTGGTAGGAGTAAGCTGAGAGGAGAGAAACAAAATAAAGGAAGGCTAAGCTGTAATGTAGGGTTGTGGATGCCGTGTTAAATCTACTCAGCTTCTTGAAGTGAGGCAAAGCTGTACGAACAGGGGGGTAGAGAAGCCCACGCTTGTGTGAACCAGAGGGTCTTGCAATCCTGTCTCTTACGGGTTTCTTGCCGATGACCGATGGTGTGACGAGCTGAAAGTAAGCAAAAATACGCCTTGCCAGGCAGTTTCTCCTCACCGAGCAGCGCCATGGCCTGATTTCCACCTCACCGATCATGTGATTCTGGATGAAGGGTGTCGGATTTCGCTCACCGATCACGTTTGGTCTGTGGAGCTTGACAGCCTCACGAGGCGGTCTGAGGGAGAAAGGCATGACAACCGTGCTTTGAGCGGGCGTCGTGAAAGCTTCACCGTGGCAGACTCGGATTCCGTCTGACCGACTACCGCGCAGCCAGAAGGGTTTGGTGTGACTTATTCTGAAGGATGGCGGGAGGGAGCCAGAGGCGGGGGATGTCGGTAAGAGGAAAAGGTGAAGAAGAAGAAGGAGAAATCTTGGCATCCCCGATGAGTCAGCCGACCTCGGAGTGGTGGCTGAAATCTCATTTCAATTTTCATCTACTTCACACCTTTCATATCTTCTCAACAACAATTTTGCCATTTGCATTCTCTCGTTACGCCAATTCAGTCTTCAACGCCATATCAGAGGCAGGCACAAGTCCCGCTTATTCACCGGGACACACTTTGACGTACAACAGAGATGACATCGACGTTCAACGAACCCGCCGCCTCCCAGTGCAGAGTGGGAATCATATTCTTTGGCGTTTGACCTATGCATTCGCGGACTGATTGTGATTCTCGAGGGGTATTTTTTAATTGATCTTGTTTATGTTTTGATCCGATGAAACTTCTTTAATACTCGCCAGTTCGACAGTCTCCGAAGTCTCGGGACCTGTCATCTCACTCCGACTGGAGAACTATGCCGCTGAAGATGTACACGCAAGAGATCCCAGCAAATGCCAAAATTTTGAGCTCTCTAGTTTCTTTCCAAGATACCCTTTGAATTCAGATCAAAATGGCTTTGGCAGGCCCCTGGAAGCACATCGTAAAAGTCACCACGGATGGCGAAGTCGTTCGCCTCTCCACATCGACTGCCCATCTCCTCAACCTGAAGAGAAAGGCTTCATTATTCCCATTCACAGATTTCTCGAAACCATCTACCAATGCCGCCAGGTCTTAAAACCGCTCTCCGAAGCTGGCTACCACCTCGTGAGATCTTACCAGATATCACTTCCCACAGTAACTCTTCACATCCTCCCCACGGCTACACCAAAGCATTGATTGCCGACGATCTGTAACATCTCCTTCAAAACCATCTTCACATCACGAAGCCAATCTATGTCGTCGGACATGATATTGGAGGCATGATCGCACATGCCTTCGCCTTTCGGTACCCATCATCCGTCAACGCCGCCATTCGGGGTGGCGCCTGATTCCAGGCACCACCTTTTACGAAGACAAATATGGATCGAGGTTGCTATTTTATTTTGCGTTTCAATCTTAGATCGATCTTGTAGTATAGCTCGTCATAGAGGAAGAGAGATAGTGTCTCAAGCACTTCCGAAAGGTTGTTATACAATACGAGTGGGATTCCTCCAGATGCACCGGATCACTATGCGAGGATATATGCGCAGCCTAGAGCACTTCGAGCTGCTTTCTCGGTGTATGAGGCGTTCGAACTAGATGCTGATCAAAACTTGAAAGGTGTGATGGGGAAGGGCAAGTGCAAAGTTCCTTTTTTTGGTCTTACTGGAGAACTTGGCCCCTTCGCTCAGGATATGGAAAGTATGCTGTTGGAGATGTGTGAGGATTACACTACGGATCTAGTACCGGAATCTGGACACTGAATAGCGGAAGAGAATCCGAGTGGTTTTGTTGATTTGGTTCTCAAGTTTCTAGCGAAGTATCGCGCCCCTGATCATCGACTGGGGGATCTGGTTAGTATGGTGTGCTCATGGGGTCACGAAGAACTGGCGAATTCAGATCTGGCTTGAAATTTCTGTCAATCATCCGACCAATGTGCTCTGATCTTCCAAGATACCAAGTGAAAGTCTCCGTGCCTCTCTCTATAATGTCCTGTTGGTAGTTCCAAGTCAGTTCACAGTGTGTTGTTGATTTATGTCCTAGCATGCACGACCCTTTCAAGTAAGATTACCAACATCTAAGCATCTCCTGACAGCGCCGAACCACCGAGGTCGATCTTGACCACGGTGCCGATAATTGATTGAAATCGGGAATTTATCCATAGGCTCATAGATCTCTTTATTAGCTTCCTCTGAAATCGCGGGGTTCGGAGCCACGCGACGTTCTTTTTAGGACTGGATTAAAGTGCCAAGTTAGTGGGACTCTACGTATTGACATCAGCCTGGAAGGCTGAACGGGTTCTGATTCCGAACAATCCCAAACCGTGCCGCATGAAATCTTATAAGAAGTCGGAGCGGGGACCCATTCTCCTTAACCATCTGAAGGTCGATAAATTAAGTTTGCGGACGGTCTGGCAAACTGATCTCCAATTTATCAATCTGTCGAACATGAGGTGTCTAACCATTTCGTGTCTCCTGGCCATAGGGCTAAGCGGACTTGCTGATGCTCTTCCCAATCCAAGTTCAACGACAAGTGAGTCCTCCTCGTTCCTCCAATGAATCAAGAAAACTAAGAATCAATTCTCAGATAACATACGTCGCCAAGTAAATCCCGACTCCTACTGCACGTCCTTCCCCTGCACCCCTCCCGCCATCCCCGTCTTCAACGAAGTCTTCAATACCTGCGGTTGCAAGATTATCCCCCCACAATGCGCAAACCTAATATGCGACGCGCTACACCACCAATCCTACGACAACAAGACCGGGAAATGCACCTGCGAGTTCGGAACGGGTATCATGCCCGTGCCGACCGAGATACCTCCCTCCCTGATAGGCAAAGTCTCGAAAAGAGAAACATCGCTCCCGCCAGCCATCTGTCCCGAAGTGTTTTGCGGAGCAGGAAGCACAATGGATCGAGATACCTGTACCTGTGTGGCAACATGGCCATTAGCAGAATCCTGCCCCCTTATTAAATGCAGAGGTGGATACCATCCCGTATACCACACGACAACAGGGAGCTGTGGCTGTGATCTCGATTGTCCTTCACTCACCTGCATCCTACCCCTCACCACCTACTACAACTTCTCAACGATGGCCTGTACTTGCGAGGACATGTCCGCCTTCTCTGATGACACACCAACTCCAACGATTGTAATGAAATTGCCGCCGACAACTTCAAGCATAATCAAACAGTTACCACCGACCACCAATTCGGTAGCGAAGCAAGCACCACCGATCACTGATCTCCCTTTTACGACTTTACCTACCCTCAGCGGAACGAGAGTTGGCCCGCCCATCTCGCCTACATTTCCAACGCATCGGCCGACTACCTTCCAGACGGTGAGCGCGTCGTTGGCACTTCCTCCTTTTTACCAGACGGCGCCGGTGGCTGCTCCTCCTGTTGCTACTGCGCCAGCGGCTTTACCTCCAGCGACTGGGACGGGCTGTACGGGTTTGTATTGTATTAGTGAGATGCACCCGGTTTTCAATAGTGAGCTGGGGAGGTGTCAGTGTGTTTGGATTGAAGGGTTGGGACCGGCTGGTACGTGAGGGGTTGGTGGGAACGGGGGGAGAATGTACAGATTTTATGTGTGGAAGTTGAGGGTTAGTTGACACTGTAACAAAACAATGCGATGGAGTATCAGTTCGTTTATTTCGAGCAAATGATATAGAGTTTGAGGTTCGGGGCTACGAGCGGGCGAGTACGGGTTTTCAGGCCGTTAAGGATCAAAAGTTTTAAACGAGAAAACTAGAAGGGATCACCCACCAACCGCCCAAACCCTTTCCGCCCACGCCTACCCCACCAAAATTTTCTCGATTTTTCAAAGTCTTTGGAAAATTCTAAAAAGTTTCCAGATTATAGAGAATACTCGAAACATTGCGAATATCACATTAATTTTTCGATTTTGTAGCGTTAAGGTCTCCAAAATCCAAGTTGAGCGGGAAGGGGGTTTGGGCGGTTGGTGGGTGATCCCTTCTACGGAGGTCGCGGCCATAAGGTTTAGTCTTCCAATTACCAGGGTCGGTGTCACTTCTCGCTTAGGTGGCAGGGCCGTTGGACAGCAACCGGAAGCGCTGTAACTACAAGGCCTTGCAGGCGTTCAGGGGTTAAAATATAGCGCACTGGCCTTAACCCTTCGTCCGGTGAGACATAGTCCACGCTAGCAAGGGGGCCTAGCTCAGACTGTAAAGTCATACCTTTGCTTAAAAAGTTATTAGTCATCTATCACCTTTTCGCCCTGAGCCAGGCCCCTTTACTAGCGTGGACTATGTCTCGCCGGACGAAGGGATAGACATTGCTAAACCCAACATTCCTACAGGCTATCGAGCCCTTAATGTTCGTTGCTAGGCCAGCTACATGTGACCTCCTGAGGCTTGGCACTCATCCCTGCCGCTTGCAAGACTTATGGCCGCGACCTCCGTAATTAAAAAGCGATTATTTAAGTAGAGAAGTAAAAGAAATAATGAGTTTTTTTTATAAGTACTTAGCTTGCACGTGATTATGTACTTGATTTTGGTGTGGTTACACACCAAATTCTGAGCACTTTCGCAATTTCGCATTTTCAGAGTTTTCTCGCGTAGAACTCTTGATCCTTAACCACGTAATAACCTGCCCCAGGGCGAGTGCCTTTGCACTGTTGCAAAGCAGCCAATCTTTAATCGCAGACAGAAGACAAAGGGATTCCAAAAAAGAAAAGAAGGAGGCATAAATTAACGATCAGATCTCGTTTTCAGCGGTTGCTTGCGTCATTTGATGCAGGTGCGGAAACGGAAAGGGGCGCGGAGTTAGGCATCGGATTTGCATTCGCTCAGCTGCAAGAAGTCGGCCGCAATGCCGCAGGTGGGTGTTGTCCGCCCGGACTTTGACGATGATTAAGCCACATACTTACAGCCACGAAGTATATAAACAGTTTCGTTTTTCACTTTAAAGCTTCTCAAAAAATTCACTTTCTTCTGAATCAAAACATTTCATCCTTTGGAACTTTTGAATTGCAGTCCCGCAATCTCCACCTCACTCACAAAATCACGAACTCCATATCCATCGGACATCACAATGACGCGCTGGAACTTCTCAAGCACAGGTGCGGAGGTCGTAGAAGCATTCAAAGAGCGCGTAGAAGGCAAAACCAGTAAGTACCTAAGCCGTATCAAGCAGGAGAGAAAAGAGACTGACAAGAAGCCTCAAGTCCTCGTCACAGGCCCATCCCCAAATTCAATCGGAGCAGAAACTGCGGTAACCCTCGCCTCCGGACGGCCTTCAATCTTGATTCTCACAGGTCGGTCGAAAGCAAAATTAGAGCCTTTGATCACCTCTATACATTCCATATCGCCTTCCACAGCCGTACATTTCGTCCCCCTGGATCTGTCAAATCAGAAATCAGTACGAAAATGCGTTGAAGAAGTGAAAGGGGTAGTAAAAGAAAGAGGAATCGATATCTTGGTTCATTCAGCTGGTATCATGGTTACTCCCTATGAGAAAATTCCCGGTTGGGGAAAGGACGGGAAGGGAGAGGTGGAGGGGCAGTTTGCTACGAATTACCTTGGATCTTTTCTCCTCGTCAACTTATTAATTCCCGAGATTTTGAAAGGGTATGAGGGGAAAGGTGGGAGAGTGGTGCTTTTGAGCAGTAGTGCGCATCGTATGGGTGGTGTACGGTTTGAGGATATCAACTTTAAGGTGCGTAAGCGAGCGAAATAGGGGTGCGAAAAGTGACTAATTGGTGGGGTGTAGGACGGAAAAGAGTATAACGAGTGGGAAGCATACGCACAGTCCAAAACAGCTCTGATTCTCTTCGTTCACTCACTTGCTCGTCTCCTCGGTCCCAAAGGCCTATACGCTTTTTCACTGCATCCTGGCTGTACGTCCGCCCGTTTCCATTCTCCTTCCCCTCCTCCGCCCCCAAAATACATAAATTGACATAAAAAAGCAATCAAATCCAACCTCCAAACCAACATGTTTGCCACCACCGGACTCCTCGAAGAGGGTCTCGCTCGCGCCACAGCAGCGGAAGAGAAGGAGGGGAGGGAGTATGAGAGGGATCCGCTGAAGACGCTGCAGCAGGGATGTTCGACGAGTTTGGTGGCTGCGCTGGATCCGGAGATTGAGGGAAAGAATGGAAGTTATCTTGTGGATGGAGATATTGCAAAGTTTGGGCCGCCGGAGTGGGCTGAGAGTGTGGAGAATCAGGCAAGACTGTGGGGGTTAAGTGAGGAGTTGGTTGGGGAGGGGTTTGTGTGGTAGAGAGGTGATGAAGCGTGTCTGGACGCGTGAGAATTCTGTGATACAGTGGGAGTGCTAAAATTCAAGATGTATTTAATATTGTATTTGAAAACCCGCCCGTCGTGACAATCGTGCAGACCATTTTCCGCCTAGCCCTCCAATATCTCCACCCCGCTTGGGAGACCAAATACCTGGGTGTTATCCTCGTACATGCAGTCGGACGTTATGACTGCCTCATTCGTTACCTCCGTAAGACAATTATATGAACGCCGACTCAGCAAATTTCCCGAATAATAGTAATCCCACTTCTGGCTCTCGTTCTCCACACACTTCTCCAACACTATTTTGCCTCCGCTCAACTCGGTCAAGCAAAGCTTCTTATCCACGATACTTCTAATCGTTCCATCTTCTCTCGTTTGCCATACCTGTCCATCTGCCCCAGTTGAATTGGACCATGAAACTCTCCCATGGATTGTGGTAAGAGTGGTGAGAGAGAATGTGTTAAAGATCATTCCCGTGGGAATAACTTCACACTCCCCTCCTCCGAGAGGAGAAAGTCGCAAAACCGCAGTTCCATGAGAAGGGATATTTGTTGCTGTTACCTGTTTCCTGGCATAGTTTGTGCCACCTGTCCACAGATCTTTGACCCTCACCCCTGGGAACGAATCAATTCCGATTCTCGAGAACGAGACACTGAAGTTTGCTGTTTTGTCCCCCCTATTGATGACTGTAAGCAGTCTATCTCTATTCGCCAAATTCTTAGTCAAGACATCAAAAGTTCCATCCTGGCTGGCGAGCGTAGCTTGCAGCGCCAACGGGTCTTGATCAACGGCTATGATATCCTTGTTCGTCAGATACTCAATCTCCTCAGCGGTGAAATCCGGGATCCAGGCACTGATTATCAGCGGTGCAGACAACGAAGCCCAGATAGCAAAATGAGACTTCTTCTCCTCGAGAGTGTAGTCGAAATGATCCACATTTAAGAAGTCTGGATCATTGAAATATCCCGGTTTCTGGAAGCGTGCAAGTCGCACTTCTTGTCCATAATTGAACATCACGCTATCCCAGCCCGTGATGTCCGGCCAGTAGAGCGTGCTGTTGAAGACTAATGTGTCCCTTGAATGTCGAGCTAGCTGCCCGAACTTTGGCACCCATGACATAACGTCGTACCAGTCTGTCAGGTTTGCTGCTTCGGCGAAATATGCTGGTGCGGATTCCGAGAACACCATGGGAGGAGACATTTTTGACAAGATCGAGTGCCATTTCCCGTAGACGGCTTTCTATTCGGCTTCCGTGCCGGCTGGCATGTTACAGCCGTCGAGCTTGAGGTAAGTGAAGCCCCAAGAGGCGAAGGTTTGAGCGTCGAGTTCTTCGTAGCCGTAGGCACCCGGTACCCTCCGCAACTCAGATTGCCTGCATCGGTGTAAATTCCGGGTTCGAAGCCGAGTTTCTTGAGATAGGTGGTCAACCAAGGCAAGCCATGTGGGAATTTCTCTGTGTCCCATTGCATGGAGCCATTGGCTGCCCTGTCCATGGTGCTCCAGCAGTCATCGAGGTTGATTCGATTGTATCCAGCAGCCAAGAGTCCGCTGTTCAGCATAGCATGGGCTGTCTCCACGAATACAGACTCATTGAGTCCGCACATGAGAGCGGACCAGTCGTTGAATCCTGTAATAGGTTAGCTAGAGTTCATAAATTGGATGTAGACGTACCCATCGGTGGGGTTGGCTGAAGGACAGAGGAGAGCACATGAGGTACAGCCGCCCCAGAGAGCAGATACTTTAGTCCGTTTCGAAGCATATTTGCGGTCCACTCAAAGCAGTTGGTGATGCTGAAGAGGAAGCTGTCAAGGGCTGGATTGAGAGTGCTCGAAGCATCCACCTCGACGTCTTTCCCGAGCTCTTTCCATGGCGTTGGATCGTCTTGATATACCAGATAAGAGCCATACCGATCATCAACAAACTCGCAGTTCAATGCAACTTGGTGACGACCATAGCTGCAGTATCCCACTGATGGGCTCATCCGGAAGGGCGATTCCCCGCCCAGTACCTAGCAGAAGGACCCCAAAAACGTGATGCTGCACATGACTGAAACGTTACGACGCACGATCAATCTGCTTCCAGCTTAGTGGACCACGATCAAGTTAAGAGTAACGCTTGCCATCCTGGGACGGATATGTAGTCCGGTGATAGAGTTTATCAAGACGCAGGTGCAGTTCTCAGGGGGGCTTCCAAGCCGGCCGCTGTCTGCCGGCGCCCCACATTTTCTCCTGAACCTCCGACTTGGCAGCTTCCTCATCAGGGCTTCTGCAATCTATAAACACGATCTTCCGCGCTCACTTCAGCGCATTGTATGCTCTTATATGCCAGGGGCTCTTCATATCGAAGCCCAATCGTGCCAGATGTCGTGATTAGCCAGGTGAAGACTTGCATGATCCGCTGAAGGGGCAATCTCGCCGCCATTTCAGCCTGAGATGATTCTCTCATCGTATCGGAGCGACACGCAGTCTTAATGTGGTTTCCAAGAGAGGGTATACGTATTACTGGTGACTTTTCCTGCGGAGGTCTAGCCCCTTCGTTTGCTTGCGTCTGATCTTATTCTAAACCTGGCTTCGCGTTGTTTTGCCTTGCGCTGTTACTCTGCGATTCTTGTCTTTCTTCTGTATTTGCATGCTGGGCTTAGCCACGCTGATTGCTTTGGTTGAATAGAGTTCACAATGACTAGCCTAGCTTTCATATTTCTTCCTCTCTACTTGTATCCCTACAACGCGTCATCTTGGAGTGCGATGACGACGTCGTTGCGGCGAACCCGACCTTGAGATTTCAAGCCGTGGTCGCGCCGAACCTCAACAATTTCTACCCAGACGTCAATTATCAGACTGCCATTAGTGGGTTGAACAAGTATTCTAATGTGCAGACATTGAGACATGTGCCGACGTCATGGGCGAATCGAGACAAGACGGCGGTAATAGGGACATTAGCGCCTATGCGGCATGGAACAACTTCTCGTCAGCGAATATTGCCGTGCAAGGCATATTTATCGACGAAGCACCATCACTGCCAAGTACTACTACTTTCTCATATGTGGAAACGACATCTACGTATGCGAAAACAGCTCTAGGGCCAGGGAGAGGCCACATAAAGTATAACCTGGAGATGGTCGTCGATCCACTGTTCTACAACATGGCAGACACGGTGATAGTCTTCGAGAACAGCTAGGGGGGGTTCAACACCACCTTTCTAAGCACGGTGAGTTGGGATCTGCTGGAGAAATCGACGGTGTTAGTACACAATTTTACCGGCAATAATACGATACCGGCGGACCTGATCAACAATATCACGAACGCGAATGTTGGGGGCCTGCTTATAACGACAAGTGATAGGTATACGGATATGTCGAGCCTGTGGCTGTAGTCTTGCGAGGAGTTGACAGATAAGAAGAATGGGGGTGATTTACCTGGTGATGTGCTTCCTGCAACGCTAAAGGCCACTCCAGGTCTGAAGCCACCGGCTAGACGAAGCGGACCTCTTGTTGACACGAAGAATACCGGGTTGTATATATGTAAGCATATATATCTATATTACAAAAACATTGTGTAACCTAGGAAAGGGTGGTCCAGTACAGATCTTGTGGAAAGGGTTGAGTTGATGGTTCAGTCTCCTGACGCTTCGCTTGATGGCCACCGAGATTTTCAGAAGAAAAATAAATTGATGCGAACGCTCGGCAATGAAACGATTCATAAAAATCCAGGCACCACGCCTCCTTCCGGGCGGGTATGATATGAGTTGATCGGGGAGATGCGCCTGAAGGCTCAACCCGTCGACTCGAGTTCTGTGCCAATGGGGACAAACCCGAAAGACTCCATCGCCGTCCACTTTCGATTTATTGCATATCCCATCTTCAGCAAATCATCTTATGACTTCGATTTGGCCGTCAATAGATCCATCCTCCATTCAAGCCTGCAGCCTTGCGGCGTCCGTGGCCTGCGGGGCTTTTCTTCAAAGTGGGACACTGGAGCTTTCTCAATTCCGCACTATCCACCTCTGCCTCCAACCCCCACCAATGAACACCCACAAGTCCTCAGGGCACCCACGGCACTCACGGCAGTCTGAATTGGCTTTTCTTGAGGCGGTGTGCCTTCGTCTCCAAAATGCCAAGGAGGAAAACTGGGCTTAAATCCAGACTGATTTCTAAGCAACGTGCCAATGATTTGTGACCTTCTCTCTCCGGCGAACCCCTTTAGGGTCTTGAAAGCGAGGGCGCAGGCTAGACATGATTCTTGATGAGTTGGTTTGACTAGAGGCGAATAATGGGCGAGGAGGGAAATTTCGTGCATACCGATTCATCTTCATCTGCACCTTCGGGGGACCCCTCACCCTATATGACCCAACTATGAATCTGCCAACGCTGAGACCTCACTCAAAATGACTCATGAACTCTCCTCAAATGCCTCGTGCGCAGAGCAGCACGACATAATCCGGGTACTAAGACCCGGACTACCGGAGCTCGGGAAACCTTCCCATAGGGAAGAGTCCCCACAACGCGGTTCGAGAACGGGCAGCCAATAGTTCTAACTGCTTCAGGGAAAGAACAGTGGCTGAAGTCGGTTTGAAAGAGAGACGGAGCCGGGGTTGCGGTCGATATGGCCCCGAGGCTGTGGGCCACAGCATGCATGCACTGCTCGCCCGTCCTAAGGTTAAGTCCGAATCTAGTCTCCACATAGCTGTCCGAGACCTCTGATCTCCCCTGCGAAAAAAAAGTTGGGCCTTTTTGTTGTTGACATCACCCAAGCTTTCCCTCCTTTATCAACAAAATTTGCATTCATTATTAGTCTTTTTCCAAAACTTTTGCTCTCTACTTTTATTTTAGTTTCACTTGAGAGGCAGAGCAAGGATTTGATTCAGCAGGGAACAATTTACCCCGCTTGTTCTCGCCGTCATCAACGGCGTTTTCCAGGCGAGCCCCAGGGGACAGGGCACGACGCTGCCCACGCGAGATGTCTCAGGTACCTTCCACTTCAACGAACGAAAAGTCTCACGCAGAACTCTCGGAAAAACCAATTGTGCCTCCACCCCGAAGTTCCATCGATACCATCACCGATTCCGAGACTGCGAGAGAGAACGCGAGAAATGGGAATCCCAATGGCTTTGCGCGGCCGACCAGTGGGGTCGATGTCAAGGCTGCGGAGGAGGAGTTTGCGCATCTGCAGAGGGAGTTGAGTGGGATTAGTCAGGCGAGTATGCGGTTGAGTAGGAGTCAGAGCAAGGGACAGAAGCGAGAGAAGGATGTCGAGAAGGTGGCGGCCAGTGAGAGTACGACAGAGGGAGAACAGTTTGATTTGGAGCATACGTTGAGGGGGAACCATACTGTGAGTTTTGTGCATGACTTTCCTTGGCAAATACTACGCAGGCATGGAAGGGCGCAATGGGTAACCATGGACATATATCTATCTTGAATCTTTCATTTTCTTATATCTTTGTTGTAATCTTACCTACGAAGCTGACCCTCCACAGGCGGAGCAAGAATCCGGCATACGATCAAAACACATTGGTGTAATCTGGGAGAACCTAACAGTATCTGGTACCGGCGGCATCACAAATTTCGTCAAGACTTTCCCCGGCGCCTTCGTTAGCTTCTTCAACGTGATCGAGACGGGCATGCACATCCTCGGCATCGGCAAAAAAGGGCGCGAAGTTAACATCCTGCAAAACTTCCGCGGTCTCGTGCACCCCGGCGAGATGGTCTTGGTTCTTGGCCGACCGGGTTCAGGATGTACGACATTCTTGAAAGTCATTGCGAATCAGAGATTCGGATATACGGGTGTGAATGGGGAGGTGTTGTATGGACCGTTTGATGCGAAGACGTTTGCGAAGCAGTATAGAGGCGAAGCGGTGTATAACCAGGAAGATGATGTGCATCATCCTACGCTGACAGTTGGCCAGACGCTGGGGTTTGCGTTGGATACTAAGACGCCGGGGAAGAGGCCATTTGGCATGTCAAAGGCGGATTTCAAGGACAAGGTTATTACGATGCTTCTGAAGATGTTTAATATCGAGCATACCAGAAATACTATTGTGGGCAATCCGTTCGTGAGAGGTATGCTAAAATTCTCCTTCTCAAATTGCTCAGTAATTTGAATTCACGTGTTGAATCCACAGGGACTGTAAGGTACTAACAGCAATTAGGTGTCTCTGGGGGCGAGCGAAAACGAGTCTCAATCGCTGAAATGATGGTCACAGCAGCCACTGTCTGCGCTTGGGACAACTCAACTCGCGGCTTAGACGCATCCACAGCTCTCGACTACGCCAAATCCCTCAGAATCATGACAAATATTTACAAGACCACCACTTTCGTCTCATTGTACCAAGCCAGCGAGAACATTTACAAGCAATTCGACAAAGTCTTAGTAATCGACGCCGGACGAGAAGTGTATTTCGGACCAGCCAGTGAAGCGAGAGCATATTTCGAAGGCCTTGGCTTCAAGGAGAAGCCGAGACAAACTACGCCTGATTATTTGACGGGCTGTACGGATGAATTTGAAAGGGAATATTCGGATGGGAGATCGGCTGCTGATGCACCACACAGCTCGGAAACCCTGGCGCAAGCTTTCATTGATTCAAAATTCTCGAAACAGCTTGATGAACAAATGACTCAGTATCGAAAGATCATTGCTGAGGACGAGCAACGACATGGAGATTTTGAGGTTGCAGTTGCCGAGAGCAAACGCAAAGGGGCATCGAAATCCGTTTACAGCATTCCTTACTACCTGCAAATATGGGCTTTGATGCAGAGGCAATTTCTGATCAAATGGCAAGACAAATTCTCTCTGACAGTCAGTTGGATCACGAGCATTACCATCGCGATTGTCCTCGGTACAGTCTGGCTGAATCTGCCAAAAACTTCAGCTGGCGCTTTCACACGAGGCGGTCTCCTCTTTATCAGTTTACTCTTCAACGCTTTCCAAGCTTTCTCTGAGCTAGCGAGTACCATGATCGGTCGCCCCATCGTCAACAAGCACAAAGCCTACACATTTCACAGGCCCTCAGCCCTCTGGATTGCACAAATTATCGTCGACCTAGCATTTTCCGCCACCCAAATCTTGATATTCTCTATCATCGTCTACTTCATGTGCGGTCTCGTGCGAGAAGCCGGCGCCTTCTTCACCTTCTACATTGTCATCGTGAGCGGTTATCTTTCCATGACACTTTTCTTCCGGACTATCGGCTGCTTCTGTCCAGACTTTGATTACGCTATCAAATTCGCCGCTACGATTATCACGTTGTTTGTTATTACGTCCGGGTACATTATTCAGTACCAGTCCGAGAAGGTGTGGTTGAGGTGGATTTACTGGATTAATGCGCTGGGCTTGGGGTTCTCAGCACTGATGGAGAACGAGTTTAGTAGGCTTAACTTGACATGCACGGCTGAATCGTTGATTCCTTCGGGGCCGGGATACACCAACATCGACAACCAGGTCTGCACTTTGGCTGGTAGTGTTGCTGGCACGGACCTTGTGTCTGGTTCTGCATACATCACCGATGGATTTTCATACAGCCCGAGCGATCTCTGGAGGAATTTTGGCATTATCGTTGCCCTAACCGTTGCCTTCCTCATCACTAATTCGACTTTGGGCGAATGGGTGACTTTTGGGGCAGGCGGAAACGTAGCCAAAGTCTTTCAAAAGCCGGACAAGGAGAGGACCGAACTGAATGCTGCGTTAATAGCCAAGCGTGACCGGCGAAGAACTCAGAAAGGCGAGGGGGAGGCATCGGAAATCAATATCAATTCCAAAGCAATCTTGACTTGGGAAGGGCTGAATTACGATGTCCCAACTCCTGCCGGACAACTACGACTCCTAAATAACATCTATGGTTATGTCCGACCTGGCGAACTTACGGCTCTTATGGGTGCAAGTGGGGCTGGAAAGACAACTCTCCTCGATGTCCTGGCCTCAAGAAAGAACATTGGTGTCATTACCGGCGATGTTCTGGTTGACGGCATCAAGCCAGGCACCGCTTTCCAACGAGGGACGTCATACGCCGAGCAACTTGATATTCACGAGTCGACTCAAACCGTCCGTGAAGCTCTTCGCTTCTCTGCAAATCTTCGTCAACCCTTTGAAGTTCCACAATCCGAGAAGTACGCCTATGTTGAAGAAGTTCTCAGTCTCCTAGAAATGGAAGACATGGCTGACACTATCATCGGTGATCCGGAATCTGGTCTGGCTGTTGAACAGCGAAAACGAGTCACCATCGGTGTCGAGCTTGCGGCTAAGCCTGAACTGCTTCTCTTTTTGGATGAGCCTACCTCTGGTCTCGATTCTCAGTCTGCTTTCAACATCGTTCGGTTCTTAAAGAAGTTGGCTGGCGCTGGTCAGGCCATTCTGTGCACTATTCATCAGCCTAATGCCGCTTTATTTGAGAACTTTGATCGGTTGCTACTACTGCAAAGGGGTGGGCAGACTGTTTACTTTGGCGATATTGGGAAGGATGCTTGTGTTTTGATTGATTATTTGAGGCGGCATGGTGCCGAGTGTCCTCCGGATGCTAATCCTGCGGAGTATATGCTGGTAATTTCTTTTCTCTCTTTGAGGTTTCTGTACTAACAAGTGCACAGGACGCAATAGGAGCTGGACAAGCACCTCGGGTTGGCGATCGAGACTGGGCCGACATCTTCTCCGAGTCCCCCGAATTAGCCAACATCAAAGACCGCATTACTCAAATGAAATCCGAACGTCTCGCAGAAGTAGGAAGCAACTTCAAGACCGACGAGCGAGAATTCGCAACCCCCCTCATGTACCAGTTGAAGATCGTACAAAAGCGCACGAATTTGGCCTTCTGGCGCTCCCCCAACTACGGTTTCACCCGCCTCTTCAACCACGTCATCATCGCCCTGCTCACCGGCCTCGCATACCTCAACCTCAACGACTCCCGGCAGTCACTTCAATACCGCGTCTTCGTCATCTTCCAGGTCACCGTCCTGCCCGCGCTGATCCTCGCACAGGTCGAGCCTAAATACGCCTTATCCAGGATGATCTACTATCGCGAAGCCTCGTCGAAAATGTACGGCCAGTTTGCCTTCGCATCTTCCCTCGTCGTCGCCGAGCTCCCATACTCTATCCTCTGTGCTGTCGGCTTTTTCTTGCCACTTTACTATATGCCTGGCTTCCAGCACGCTTCTTCCAGAGCGGGGTATCAATTTCTCATGGTTCTCATCACGGAACTGTTCTCTGTAACACTGGGCCAGATGGTCGCTGCTATCACGCCGTCCCCGTTCATAGCCGCCTTGTTGAACCCATTCATCATCATCACATTCGCCCTTTTCTGTGGCGTCACGATCCCCAAGCCCCAGATCCCTAAGTTCTGGCGCGCTTGGCTGTACCAACTCGATCCCTTCACGCGACTCATCGGCGGCATGGTCGTCACGGAGCTCCACGGGCGAACCGTAACTTGCACGAGCACAGAGCTCCGGCGCTTTACTGCTCCCTCGGGCCAGAACTGCGGAGAGTACATGAGTAACTTTTTTGAGGGGGGAGGACCGGGATATATTGTGAGCAATGCCACGAGTGCCTGTGAGTATTGTGCGTATAAGGTCGGTGATCAGTTTTATTCTGGTCTGGGCTTCAGCTTTGATAATCGGTGGAGGGATCTGGGCATTCTGGCTGCTTTTGTGGGGAGTAATTTGTGCTTGTTATTTTTGGGTGTAAGTTCTCCCCTTCCCGTGACGAGGGGATTTGCTAATAAGGTGTACAGTCGAGATACCTTAATTTTAATAGAAGATAGATGGGAGATGGAAGGAAGAGAGAGAGAGAGAGAGAGAGAGAGAGAAGCGATTTGGATTGTTTGGTTGCATTTGGAAGGATATTAAAAGATGGATTGAACAAGTGGTTGGGTTGGGTTGTAAGTACGCAAGTAGATGAGTTGTACATAGTAATTAGTAGAAACCATCCTGTTTGGTACCAGCCTTTTACTTCGGATTGTTAAGTAACTTGCAACACAGCCCCCCAGCTGCATCCTACCACGTGCCTCGGGAACAAGATTCAGGAGTCATTGCCCCAAACCTCACCACCCCTGTCCAACATCAATATTAAAATTACAAACACGTCAACCTTACCGAGTACCAAACTGGACTCGGATCCTCGGCGTCAATCGGATAGCAGTCCCAAAACCGCATTGCTACGCATCCCACGCCGCACCCACCCAACTTTACGAGAAGCTGCGCCGCAAAACAAATTGTGAGCCAGGCCCAGGCTACCATCCAAGATGTGGCAAAGGTCTAATTTCACGATCTGATTAAGTTATGGTCATGGCGCTCCCCCGCAACGCCATGGCTTTCCTCCACCACCATCATCAACCTCGATTTATTGCTTTTCGGTGCCAAATATGAAGGTACGGCTGGAGTCACTCGTTTTCAGCCTCCTCGGAGCAGCTCAACATGTCGAAGCGGCAAAGGTCCTCTCGTTTGACATTTCAAGAAGAGCGAATTCGATTTCAGGGATCAACGAGATTCTCAGACGCAGAGACCTCTCTAAAAGCTTCACGGAGGTGATAGACAACATAGGTGCCGGGAACGGGTATACAGCCAACATATCCGTCGGCACCCCCCCACAGCCTCTAATTCTCGGAATTGATACCGGGAGTACGGATACCTGGGTCCTGTCCAACACTGCGAATATATGTGTGGATGTGGCGCTGATGAAAGAGGGTGAGACCTGTGCGCATGGGACGTTTAATGCTAATAAGAGTTCTACGGTGGAGACGGTGGTTCCTGGGGGTTTTAATGCGACCTATGTGGATAAGAGTGGTGCGAGTGGGGATTTTATTACGGATATGTTGAGCATTGCGGGGAATGAGGTGAAGGGGATGCAAATGGGTCTTGCATTCAGGTCTACGGTTTCGCAAGGGACGCTGGGGTTGGGATATGGTACTTTCCCTCTTCCCTTTCCATCCCCCTTTCCAGACTTCGAAGATGGATGACTGATGACGGGCAGACACTCTCGAAGGCGCCAAAACAAAATATCCCAGTTTCATCGACCAGCTAGTATCCCAAGGCTTTATCAACAGCAAAGCCTTCTCCCTCTACCTGAACGACCTCACCACCTCAACAGGCAACATCCTCTTCGGCGGGATCGACACCGCAAAGTTCACCGGCACCCTGCAAACCCTCCCTCTCATCCCCGCCCTCCCCAACGACCCAATCTCCTACTACGGCGTCGTCCTAACCTCCGTGACGATCACCTCCTCCGATGCAAATAACAGCTTCCCCCTCACTTCAACAGCAAGTGACGGCTCAGCGGTGAACGAAATCGGCGTCGTGCTCGACTCCGGCGCCATGTTCACCTACCTGCCCACCGCGCCCGTCCAGGCAATCTACAAGCTTCTCGACGCCGTCGTCTCGCACGTCTCCTCCTCGTTCATTTTCGTAGACTGCGCCTTACTCGTCCCAGCCTCGGGAATACCCACTACTGTTGATTTCCAGTTCACGTCCCCCACTGGACCAATCATCAAAGTTCCGTTAAACGAATTTGTCTTCCCACTCTCAGATTACGCGGCGATAGCAGAGCATATCTCGGCACTGGGCACGCTGCCGTTTAAGGATACGTGTTTGCTTGGTCTCCTCGGCGCTGATGAGACGGGCGGCGCGATGATACTGGGAGATACGTTTTTGAGGAGTGCGTACGTGGTTTATGATCTTGAGAGCAATAGTATCGGGATTGCGCAGACGGTGTTTAATTCCACGACGAGTAGTGTTGTGGAGTTTTTTGCTGCGGAGAGTGGGTTCCCGGTTATGAGTGGAGTGTCGTCGAGTGCCACAGGTAGTGCGACTGGAAAGAGCACTGGTACCGGGAGTGGAGGGGCAGGGACGACGGCTAAACCGACGGGGACGGGGAGCGGGGCTGCGTCGAGTAGCTCGAGTAAAGCTGCGGCTGGATTGTCGAGTCCCCCGCCTTTTGATGCGAGGGGTTTGGTTGTGTTGACGGTGGTGGGGTTGTATTCTTTGGTTGGTGCAGGGTGGCTTCTTGGGTAGATGGATTGTTGGAGATGGGGAGATATCAGTAATGTAATTACATGTATTGTGCAGATGTAGCTAAAGCAATAGTGAATGTTATGTAAGATATCCTGACATATGGGACGATTCTCTGCGGTCGATACTGTGGAGTGAAGTGTGTGTCGTAAGCGAGCAGTAAAGGGGTTTTAAGCGACGCCGATGTTTTGACGAGCTCAAACTCCGTCACAATTCATTAATTCCCATTTCCAGTTTAGCTTAAGTGTCATTTTCAACTTAGAGTAGATAGTGAGTAAACCGGCCACGTGCTTGATCAGTTTATTTGCACATCGACAATCTCATAATGAGAAATCAGAGTTCTCAACGTGGGTTTCAACTCCATCCGCTGAAATATCCAAAGTTGGTAGCAAGAACCGAAGAACCGAAGAACTCAATTAATGAATAATCAAGCTACCGAGGTATGTAAGAAAACACTCCCAGGAGAGGACGTTGTGTAGTTCCATAGACAGACTCTTCGTCATACGACTACAACAACTAAAACAATGCAGACTCTGAAGGAAACTACATGACGCCCACGTATGCCGACCAGATTTCGCCTTTCATTTTAGGCGCTGGCTAACTGCGATGCGGGAAATTTGGGGAGGTTTTTTATTGCTATCAGAGCGCAACGGGGGGGTGTGCGGGTGGAGAGAAGACCTCTACAATCTCATTTACTTGAAATATAATGTACGCCCACGAAATCAATGACAACCAGACTATTTAAATAAAATCACAGAGCAAGAGAGTGAGGACCTTGTTGTGTCCTTGTTAGTGGGCGTGGCCGTGCGTTCTTCCACTTTTGCTTTGCAATCGGCCTTTCCTCGAACAGCTAACGGAATCTCAGGTAGGGGCTCGGGATGTCCAGGTCACAATGTACATGATTAGGATAGCAATGGCTGGTGAGACTGTCATGACCAAATAGTTAAGTGAGACAAATAAGTGTGTCTGTCTGTTGATGGAGAAATGGTGAATAGTGTGAGGTATAATTAAGGTCGTCACATGATTCTTGGTTGCTTCTCCCTCGACATAAAGGTACAGTAATCCCAAAACCCAACAATACCGCACTACAGTCCCAATCTCCAAGGAATAATGGCCTGAAGGTTGGCATTTGAAGAAATATAATTTCATTAAACCGAGAGTGAGCATGAACTCCAGATACTTAACAGTAGGTACGAACCCTAAAGAAGCCACCCCCGCCCCCTTTTCACCCCTCTCTCAGTTGATCTGTTGCCGCCTCTCCTTCGAGACTTCTGCATCCTGAAACTAGCCGTCACCCAAAGATGCTTACCTCCAAGACTACTCTTCGTAAAGTAAGTCTGGGAAGTCCTGTCCGGCACGCGAAGATATAGACTTATAGTCAGATCAGGGATTTGTGACCTTGGAGCCTGCCTTCCCGCCTGACGATGAGAATGTTATTGGGATGACGCATCATTTAAGGACTGTTCTTCGAAGCCCTTCTGGTCTTCTTTTGAGACCTACTGGAGCTGCTCTTCTTGTCACGAGCCTTCTCGGGTTTGAGGAGTGTTGAAGTTTCCCTCTTCACCACTTTGCCACCGGGCACTACCGCTGAGCCATACTCGTGAGTCCGTACGGACTGTGCCACTACTTCCCAGCTTCGTCTGTGGTGCGAATGCTTTCCAGATGAACCAGTGGACGTTTTCGTGATAGGAGCACCGATTTCTGAGTTTTTGATTGTCCCGTGTGGGCTTCCATCTCTATTGGCCTGCTCCGTCTGAGCAGCATGAGGTTGGGATTCGGGCCCTGTGCCAGATCCTGCTGGTCCCTGAGCCGGGCTATCTTCAGGCGTTTTCGAGGAAACTTCACTGCCCGTCGGCGTAGATGAGTCGGTCTCTTTGAGCGCCTCAAATGCTCGTTTGTACCTATCTCGATCCTCTTTCGTCGTCTCCAGTTCCCGTTTGTACCCTTCTCGCTCCGCTTCCGTCATCTCCAGCCTGTCCTGAAGCTCATCTAGCAGCATTTGCAGACCAGTCCCTTTCTTCTTCTGGCGTCGGAGAGCCTCCGTCACTTCTCCCAGTCGTTTTTCTAGTCCTCTTATCTCGATGCTGGCAGCCGTAAGTTTCTCAGCTAATCTAGCGTTGACCTTCTCAGCCAACTCATAAGCCGTCTCCAGTGTTTCGTATGCATCGAGTAACTCTTGTCTTTCCGCGCCCGTCAGGGTGCCGGAGACTAAGTTCTTCCTCACCTCCGCTTGTCGCGCATTGATGTCATCCATATTATGTTTTCTCTTGTTCACTTGTTTCTGAAACTTGGCGTTGCGCTTGGCTTCTCCCTCGAGCAACCGTTCTATTTCCTTCACTTCACCAATGACGGAGTCTTCGTCGGAGTCGTCCGAGACATCTTACGACGACACAATCAGCTTTCTATTACCCATTCCTGAGAGAATGACGAACCTTCTGAATCTTCAACCCGGCTTTTGCCCTTACCCTTATTCATAGCGGCTGAGGTGTCGGGGTCCTGGTCACTGATCGTTTCTTTTTGATTTATTTCATAAATCCTTCGTGGTACAAACCCGTTAGAAAGTCCCTGATCGTCCCCGTTCACGTCGCCCGAAGAATCTAGTGCACTAAGTTATCAAATTTCCACCTCAGTAGTGATCTAGCCGACGAACCTCCAGTATTTGCCGCAGTTGCTTTGCCATCCCCTTCATCCTGCCCGTTATCCATGATACTTGAGGAGCCAGGTGACTCGGCCTTGGACGAAAGCCGCCGATCACCCGGGCTGGACGCTCCAACATTCCTAGGTGGACGAGGGGACTGCCCTCTCGGGACGATAACTCTCTGCTCCCGAGACGCTGGCCTTTCTCTCTGTGTGTTTGTCGGCGGGACAGGGCTCGAGCTGGCACCGCCGGACTGGGTTCCGGTACTGCGTTCGGTATTCCGAACTACTTCTGGGGGAGCCATCAGGTCAAGAGTTAACGCAAGGCTGGGAGCTCAACATCGGTCTAAAGGTTGGAAAGAAGGTTCCGGCAGCTTGTTGCGAAATGAGTTCGAAATCTTACTCGAGTCCCTGTCGAAGGGTACTTCGTATTTCAGGAAAGGTGTAAGGGGAAGTTGGAGCTCGAAGGAAGGAAAAAGAAGGAAGAATCTCATCCCAAAACTCCATTTGATCGCGAAATGTGGGGTCTTGCTAACAAACCGGGCGTGGCTCTGTTGGCAGTGTTTACTGGACAAGCAACACGCTCTTGACTGGTTGAGATCCCTTCATTTTCTCTTTTGGGCCGCTTGCATTGTCACACAACAGATTTCTCATATGATTTGATGTCTGGGCCATAGATGTTGTTCCGTGATAGCCAATTGTTTCTGTGTTGCAGTTCGAATAGAAACCTTGGTGTTGTAGAAAGTGCCTTTTTAGGACTCTCAAGGGTTCGCTTGAACAGCATAGCCATGAGATGCAGAAATAAAGAAAGAATTAAACAGAAACGGTTCAACAAAAGCATGCAAACGCCATTGATTTTGTGTATCGAATAAACGTAACACGTACCATTCATTCATTGCGCCGAAGCCGTATTCTGTCTGTCTTGCAATGCACCCAGCCCATCCCAGATGTATGTTTCCCCTAACTCCAAGCAGATAGTCTCTGCTTCCCTTCCGTCCCACGTATCCCATCGCCTCCTCCATCAACCCATTGATAATGTTTCCACCATTTCCCCCAACAGTGTACTCAAGGTCCCCTCCACTTCCATTTAAAAGCTCAAAACTCGCTTCAAATGCAACCCCTTCTCACAATCCCCCTTGATCCCCCCCCCTCCCCCGCTCCCCCCCCCCCTCTTCTCAAACGCTTCCGCAACCTCCTTGACGGTCTCGAAATAGCCTTCCGCCGTCCGCTGAAAACCGAGTTTGTTCCACTCTCCCTTGTCTAAACTCTCGCTCTTGATTTCGTCCCAGAGGAGTTTCCAGTTGCTCATGGCGGACTTGAAGGGCGCTAGGAGGTGCGGTATTGAGGTGGAAGGCAGGGAGGCAATTGGGTTGGAGAAGGTGGCGGCCCAGAGGTGCGTGTAGAGGACTATTTCGCCACGTTAGCCAGTGGATTGAGATGGAAAGGGGGTGGGGTGGGAGAGCACGAACAATGAATCAACATCTGCATATCCAGCGCATTCAATTTATCACTCCTCAATATTTCCAAATCCCTTTCCACTGTCTCCGGCGGACTAAACAAGAGCAGAAACGCATCTTTGATCTTCATTCTTCGTAGCGGGACCCGCTTTGACGCGAGCACGGCGTCGTAGTTCGCGAGACGGAAGAAGTGGTCGTCGGATTGGAAAGGGACGTCGAGCTCTGCCCATTGGAAGCGTGGGGAGACGTTGTGGAAGATGCCGAAGGAGCTGTCGAGCATTAGGGCCATGGTTATGAGGCGGATGAAGGACTCTTTTCGGATCCAGGTTTGGAATGAAGCTTGGTCTTTTATTTCGAGTGTCGGGGAATGCTGTACAGTTTGGAGTTCTAGGTGATGAAATATCTGCCGCTTGTTAGTACTTGGGTTTGGGTTTGGGGGAGGAGACGTACAGCTACGACTCGGCAAAATCTTTGTTGGCGGACTCGAATTCGCGCTGTGTCGTTTCCAGTCCAGTATTGTAGGACAACCATTAAATAAACGCCTTGTAACTCTTCTAACTGGTATTGTTGCCATTCAGGGGATGCGTCTTCTCCCTGTTTAACGTATCTTCGGCCTGGTAATTCATACTCGTCGTTCAGGCCTGGAATCGAAAAAATGTACCCTTCGATAGTATCTAGGAGCATTTTGAGCTTCAACACATCTCCTGCTTCTTTGGAATACTGGGCCAATCATCAGTAAGTTTCGTTTCGGGAGTAAGACGCGACTTACCATCCCTCCAAGACTCATCAACGCCAAAACAAGAGGTAAAGCAGCTGTGGTCGGATTGAAAGTAGCTTCGTGGACCATGGGAGCGTGTTTATGCCAATGCCGGAAATATAACTTAACATATGCTGCAAAATTGTCCACCGTGATCAGCTCAATGGCGTCTAGTAAACCTTTTGACGGCGGGTGAGGCGGATTCTGAGTTGCTGCCGTATATTTCAACTTTTCTCTGATATCAAAAGCCCTCTGGTCCATTGCTGCCCTGTCCACAAACAAGTCATCGGGTCCAGATCCTAACATTATATTCTCTCCGGGCATCTGCCAGTTGTTCGTCCTTTGCTCAAAGGTGGTGAATTCTAGGTGACTGAACATAATATCCAGATTGTGCTCCTGAGTCGCTTGCCTATACCCTTGATACATCGAGGGGGCAACCCCCCCTGGTTCATACCGCGCATCCACAGCCATGGACGCAAAATCCGCCGCCTTATTATGCGGGCTCAACGTCGTGCTCTTCGGGAACTCGCGCATGAAGTCCGTCTCCCCCGTGCCATTCAGCAGAAAACCAATTGAGTTGCGATCCGAGCCAGTGTCCGGAGTCGACGGGCCAGGCGTTGTCGTTTCCTCAGGACTCGAAGCGGCTGCCATGTTTCCCACGTCAGCCCAGCACCAACCACACTTTCACCACCCACACCCCGTCACTAACCTGTCGTCCTGCTCTTGACACACTTCCTGCCAAACTCGGTGCACTTCCGGCAGGGTACATTATTGTCGCACTTGACCTTCAGCCTCGAGCACTCATCGCAGGCATGACGCTTGCGTCCTCTCTCCAGCGAACTCGGGATCGCGGAGTTTCCACGACGCTCGCAGCGACTGAAATGGTCTCGCAGCACATCGCTACCACATCCCCAGTGTCAGCGGAAAATTTTCCGGTGGCTTTGAGGAGTTGCATACCTGCGTTTGAAGGTCTTGGAGCAGAATTTACAGCTGTACGGGCGATCTCCGGAGTCTGCGATGCGATATCAGAATCCGGAAAGCTATACGAGATACGAGAGGAAGGAAACTGGTATGCGAGGGAAGGGAACTCACGCTGCTGCTGGTGCCGCAGCAGATGGGCCTTGCGCTGGAACTTCTTGCCACATTGATTGCAGGTCGACAGGCTTTGAGCCTCCATCTTGACGGAACCATTGTGGTGGAACGTCAGGCAGGCTGTTGCGACAGAGGGAGGTTTATTTGGGGAGCCAGCGGGGGCCCGGTCTAGTGGGATCCTGCTCACGCCCTTGCTCGGCCGAGCTTCTGGCCTTTCTTGCTCTCTTGCTTTCCTGGGCTGGGGCTGGGCTGGGCAGGCTGGAGCGTGCTAACTGGAAGTGCTGCAAGTGCTGCAAGTGCTGGTGCGAGCGAGAGCGAGAAGCTTCTTAGTCCCGGTCCCAGTACAGCACTGATTGAGCATTGAGCAAGCACACTGAGCAGCTCCAGGTTCGGTCGGGTCGATGTGGGGATTTTGCGTGCCGCTCGCTTCGCCTGGGCGCCAGCAGCGGGCCTTTGCTGGCTTTGCGGGGGTCCTCGATGGGAGCATGCATGCAGCATGGAGTGGGCATCGATGCAGCGGCGCAGCGGTGCAGCAATGCAGTGATGCAGCGATGCGGCCATGCTCGCCTCGCTGGTCAGCCACAGGCCAGTGCTTGTTCGGTGGTTATTCGTCGAGAAGCGCGCCCGTGAACTTCTGGACTCCTGGGAGTGGACGCTTCTCCTGTGGCGTCCATAGGGGATATCGTGCCGCAGCGCAGCCTGCTCGGCTATATGCTTCCAGAGCAGGGGCGGTACGGAGATACATGGAGCGAATACGAATAGGGGGCACGACGCACGCGAGAGCCGCCCATGACGAAGCCGTTGGACGGTTGGACGGTTGGACGGTTGTACGACTCCCTGCCAGGCCTTCGGAGCGCAAGGTTTGAAGCGAGTCTTGAGGCGAGCTGAATCACAAGTCCGGTGTTTTCAAGCGAAATTGAGTCAGTAGTTCTACTTAGTGAGTGAGGCCCAGTCTTCCACTCTTCCAGAAGTCACCAGCGTCCCACATCGGCCTTGTAGGGCTGCTCGCAGACTGCTAGATTGCCAGTAGGCTGTGGCGCTGAAATCTACTACGTACTAGTGCTATGGTAAGGTTACTGTGTCTCTTATTTCCGCACTTGTCTTCTGCACACGGGAAATCAATGCGTGCTTGAAACAACACATCTTCTCGCCCCCCCTTACTTCGCACTCCGTAGCAAATCAGAGGGGAGACGAGAGCAGAACGAGAGCACTCGCTGCACGGTCAGCTGAGCAAACACAACCCAAGACGGCAGTCCGGCAAAAGACGCCACAAGGAATCAACCCAGACCGTTATCAGATCCGCCTTCCAAGCGTCAAAAGGAAGACGCTTGCCAAGACTCCATTGGATTCTCCCCGCAGGGCTACCCTGCACCGCGTGGTCGAGACGGGGATATCGGGTGTTATCCGTCCGAAGGAATCTTAACTCTGGTCTACCCTCCGTATCCCCCCTCTGAATAAATGTGTTGAACTGAGTACGGAGTACAATAACATGGGTCGAAAGTAGAGACTTGAGCAAGGGTTTCTTGAATAGCATTCGTTCGCTTGAGGCTATCGTCAAGGGACTTATATCCACAGTTAGGGCATCATTGGCCTGTGCCGACCCTGCAAACAGGAGCTGCAGCCACTGAGAGTGCTCGGAACAAGGCTCGGCCCCACCAGTACATTAATTGAAGGGGGAGGAGAGCAAAAATTGATGTCACTTGGTCATTTATCACACAGTCGTTGCGTCGACGACGAAGACTGAAGTTTCAAAGCGTGTACCATGCCTGGTATCATACAGTTCAAGAAACGCTCCAAGCAGATTCGTGGCTTGGCGCAAAATGGCATCAGAAATTAGGTTCAAACCGCAATGGAGGTTGAGAAAGGGAACAACCTTGATCACACCCGGATCTACGGAGCGCAGCAGAATGCTTAGAAATTCCCCGGATATACACTGTACCAAAGCCAAGGGAAAATGATGTAGCGAGACAGGGGGATGAGAGCCAATAAAGCGTGGAGTTTGTTCACGGTCTGTGCCAGCCCGGAACACGCTGGTCTCGCTACGTTATTTTAGCATGACACGGTGTGCCCTCATTTGCCAAGGTTGAGTGAGGTTTGGCGTCCACTCTGTCCACCAGGAACTTTGACATCAGAAAATCCTACAATCTTGGGGCAGGACCGAGAGTTCGACGAGTTGGCCAATGGGAGGCGAGGATTGCGAGCGGTGTCTATGTAGGGACGAGAGGGAAGGACCTTGATGCTTGATGGCCCGAGAACCCCACTAATAAAGATCGTGAGATTGGGATTTGCCCGAGGCTCATGATCTTTGATTTGCATTTGTTCCCAATTTCTCGCCGAGTTTCAATTTAGGGAGGAGGGAGTCATAGCTAAATGGATATTGGAAATGGAAGTTGGAAGGCCGAAATTAGAAGGTGAGATGAGGTTATGTGCATCTTTTGAATGACACGATGGTTTGGGAAGGAGGAAGCAGGAAGAGATCTACAACGTAGACCCCCCTGTGAAGTTGTCAGATACCGGATGTCTGACTACGGAGTACAATGCCGTCGGGAAGGTGGATGTTTTCCGTTCTCAGCGGTAGCTCAAATACCAGAAGTTGGGCGGGTGTCTACTTCCCAAATTCCCATGTCCGTATGCCCGCTTTTCGATTGTTTTGGAAGGAGCGGAAGTGCTCTCCACTTCTCACCTCATTCTGCCCCCTCATTCCCACGAAGTGCATCTTGTACTTCACACATCAGCACTACCCGTATATCACTTGCTCACAGCACTTGGCACACAACCAAGTTCTGCATCACGGGGGGTGAAAAAATGTTTCAAACCGTTTTTGGTCTCACAAAACACAGGCACACACCTCACTCTGCCAAGAGCCGTTCACCCAATCTCAATACTTCCGCAGACTTGGCGTTTTGGAAACTCGGGCAAGGTCCCGCCCGACCTCTAAGATAGGGTAGTATCACACCCACTGTCACTCAACTCACCGCGAAGATTAGCATCTCTCCCACACTTCACCGAGATGTCTTCCCACACGCATTTCAACTAGAACTTTCCCACCTTTGTCGTACAAACAAACAACCTCACTCTAGGTGCGTCACACCTTTCGTGCTCTGGGTGCGTTCACCGGATTGCCTCGAGCAATTATTTCTCTCCTCTCCACAATGGGTAAAAGCCTCGAAGATTCGCGCCACACCAGTTAAGATAACGCATGCCAATGAATGGATCTTCTTTTCCTTTGCGCCGCTCCTAATACGATTTGTTTGAGAAAGCTAGCGGTGTTCAAGCCACCCAAGGCAGGATGGTTCCCTCCACGCAGCATAAATATTACTGGGACTGCCTGCGAAAAGTGTTTTTGACAACCAAAATTGAGATTCAGAGGTCTTGAAGCAAAGATGGAAACAGACAAGCTAAAAGGGAGCGAGGAGGAAGTTGCTTGGAATTGAAACCTGGTGTCATATATATGTCTCTCTGGTGACTGGTATTAATACACATATTCTCAGCTTGATGAGAGACCATTTCTCCAATGAGGATCTGTACCCATCTATTCCATGGTTGAAGTGTTTAGAAAACTTCGTTCCATCACTTCCTTGCTACCGAGACGCGTTTCTAATAAGCTGGTATCAAAGCGGGTTGAGAATCTTGTGGGTACAAATCTGGTGAATCGCCCCTCGCTCTCTTATTCTAGACTAGCTTAGTTCAAGACTTATTTAATGCCTCTTACCACGACCACTTCTTGTACTTGAGACATCTCACACAGAATCATCTTTACCCTTAACTTTGACCTCGTTATGCACTTTGCACCACTGTGACTGCATCTGTCAAGTCTGCTGATACACTACCTCCATGACAAAGGGGATCGGGTTGAGCGGCTCCGGGGTAGCTTGGGGGGAAGCCTAGTCAAATGAGTAGTCCCATTAGGATACAATTCAATCAAACAACCACCGAGCCTCACACTCTCGGCGTACAACTCATACGACCACATATCCATTACCACGACCTCCGCTGTCAGGTCCCAATATCAAGCCCTTCGCACCCCCCACGTAGTACCTCGTCCCAGACCATTTCGATACCATTTCTATCATGCCGCCAGCCCTATCGTTAACAATTTGCCGTCCGCACGACTGAGAAAGCTCTAGAGAGTCGGAGTCCCGCTACCCATTGGCCGGGCAGACGAGAATCTTTCCCTTCACGTTTGTATCTCCCACATCAATCCCTTGCGTGGGTCGGAGCATGTAAGATAACCATTTCCCTTTGTGTCCACCCAGCTATCGCATGCATCGCTGCAGGCGATCGCGAGGGACGTGTTTTGCATACTAAGATCACAACATATTAAAGCGAATGTATTATCAAGATCATACCGGAGAAGACTACTTTATGTTGGTAGTATTCTAAATGAATTAGCTAATTCTACTATCATCCTGCGGATTTGCTTCCACCAGCACCTGAAGTATCATCCCTACGACCTCCACCCCTCTTCCCAAAAGTCCTTTTGAAGAACTGGCTACCCTTCTTCGCTAGTTGTCTAGCAGTTCCCGGTTGTGATGCTTGTTGCTGAAGACTGAGACCACCTATCTGCTTGTGCAGAGCAACACCCTTTCCCCGAATCTTGTCCCACTCAACTCCCAACACGGCCTCATAAAGAGGCGAGAGATCATGAGCAGCACACACTTCTCCTTCACTTCTCTTAGCAGCAAGAAGATTGAGGTCATCCTGCAAGGTGCCGTTCTTGGTAGGAATGGTCAAGATCTTCTCGCGGATGTTGTCTTCAAAGTATGGCTTGCCAGGAGAGTATGCATGTCCTGTTTGATCAAGCCTGTTTCGCGCAGCTTTATCACCGCTGAATTTGCGAAGATCGTGTATGAAGTTCTGACACGACTGTGTGAAGTTGGGAAACTCTTGCGAGAGACTGGCCAGAATAGCTTCGCGGGATCCTCTAGTTCTGTTATAGTCGTTCCAGAGAGGAGGAAAGTCCTTTCCCCAAGCACCGCGGATGAGCGATCGCTGCCAAATGTCTGCCGTGAGCCGAACCTTTCGCATAGTTCCACTGGGGCCGAAGCATTGTACGACGATGTCGATGAGGGGTTTTCCATCTTCGAGTTGAGAAGTGATCCAGCCTAGAATTTGTATTAGCTAGAAATATACAAATCAGCGCGGGCGATTTCTTACAAATGAGATACTCTTTGGTGACGGTGACGAAGTCGCCATTGCCCAAATCAAGAGTTACCATCTTTCTCTCATCTTCAATCTCTTCCATTGTGCTAACATCAATCGTGCCAGATGCATGTCGAGGCGCCGGCTGAATGAAGATCTCTGGAACAAGCGCGCCACGAGAAATCTTTCTTCGCTCCCGGAGAGAGTTTTGATGGCTGGGAGAGCGAGAAGTGTTTGGCGAAGGCTCGTTGATACCGCGGACTAGAATCGTTACGACATCATCTTTCTGACAGTAGAGATTGTATGTGACCAAGATGCTCTCATCGCTGAGCAAGCGAACAGCTGCAGCCATGCTTGCAGAGTGTAGATAAAAGGCGAACTTCTGGACTTCATCTTTGACATTGAGAATGGTGAGAATGTTTTCGAGTTTGATGCCATTTCTCCTGACATCCGCGAGAGTGTACTGATGCTGCACGAATGTTGGCAGATTCATGTCTTCCTTGAGGAAGAACCAGAGTTGCTCATCTAGAGCGGTCTTGAAAGGTGCAGACATGATGATTTGGGTCGCAGAAGTGCAGAGAAGTCTTAGAGAAGAGATCGCGAAACTGATAGATAAGAAGTTGCAACATTGAAGTCGCAAGATCATCGAGAATCATCAGAGTTGGAGGAATAAGATCGAGGGGGTTGAATCTTGAAGTGTTATACAGCTCTGTGCTCCTTCACTAGCCCATACTGCCGGCAGAACCAATTTCACCGCCTCTGGTCTTTCCGCTTCGAGCTGACCGCCAATTTACAGAGACAAAGAATTTTACGCCCACTAACTGGAATCGGCAAGCATATGCGTCATATGCTAGCTAGATGCTTCAAAGTTTATTTCTATCCATCATCTCAAAAGCTGCGCTTCAATATTCCCTTACCTAAATTCTTACTTAAAACAAGATAATCAAGATGGCCGAATCGAAGGTACCTGCTACTACGAGAGAGAAGCGATCTAGCACCTCAACATCAACTCTGTTGAGTCTCCAATCAAACTCGGAGATCTGGTACAAGGTAAGCACGCCTCTCATCCTATTAACATACATGCTAATGGTAGCAGATTCACATCCTACTCTATGATCTCTGTAACATCGCCAGTGACCGAGCCGCTGAAGCACGTACCTTAGCCACAACTGATGAGCTATACATTAGCGGCCCTTACTTCTCACCAGAGGAAGCCATGATTATTAAAGCTACACTGGTTTCGCCCCCATCGCTGAACGAGATCCCAGAATTTGAGTCTCTCTGTATGGATAATCCCAACGAAGTCGATGGAAGCAGCAAAGAAGTACCAACACCGGAGACAATGTCCATCGAAGCCGCCATCAAATTTTGTCTCCAAAATTTCTTTGAAAAGCGCAGAGCAAGTGGTGATGCTCGACCATGTGGACCCCATGACATGGGCCCAATTTATCAAGCAGTCTTTGGCATTACGAAAGAAGATTTGAAGAATGAGAAGTTCTTGAGCAGGTTGAGGAGAACCGGTCTTGGCCAGTCAAAAGAGAAAGAGAAGAATGCGAGTGAGAGTGTCTCTGGCAAGCAGAAGAAGAAGAAAGGACAGAAGGGCTAGGCTTGGAGAGTTTGGGGTAATAGAGTTTTATCTAAAGCTTCCTTAAAAAAAAAATGCTGGAGGAAAGAGAATTTAATCATTAGATGTGGGTGTTCTTATTCTGGAGTGCAAAGTCGGGAGTCTCCGAAGTTCATAGATTAAAATTCCACTGGAAAAATATTCAACCTTCACGAGCCAAGAAAGACAATTGTCGAGGAGCTTTCAATCCATCTATTTCAAAAATTAGCACGAACTCCTTTCTTAATGCGAATGAGCTGACAAAACATCAACTAGGAGGATCGCTGTGCGTGTATCGGGAGGATTGTAGGGCAGATACCCACCGGCATAAGTTGTGCACTGAAACGGGCATGGGCGAGCTTTTGACATTCGATGCACGTGTCAAATTGATGCCATGCCACAGAGGTCAAAACAGCCCACCGTATTCTGATTTGTGAGGCTGAAATACTCTTTGACAAGAGGGATCCAAAATCTGCTTCGGCAGGAACCCTGTAAGGGAGCAGAAACAGATTTCCGGGCAAAATCCGGTAAGGAAACTGTAGCTGGGGCACACAGGAGGCCAAAATGGATTCCGCATCATGGTGGGCAGGCTGACTCAGGGCGTGGTCAAGATAGCTCAGGCTCCACTCAGCTCTGCTCAGGCTCTACTCCGGCATGCTCACCCTTGGCTCAGGTTAAAGCAGCAGTTGCTCGCGTCCGCAGACTAAAACGGAATCAGCGAAAGGGAAAATTAATCCTGAGTCTAGGGTATCATGGATTAATTTCCTCTTTTCATTTGCTTCCGGCACTGCTGAAACGGAAAATCTCCTCTAAATAGGGGGAAAGATTGACTCGGACCATTCAACCTGTTTCTAATGTTACGCCACAGAATGACCAGGCTTTCCGATCCTCAGGCTCACATAACCAACGCAGGCTCAGCCCAGGCTCGGCCCAGAATCGGCTCAGGATCGGCTCAGGATCGGCTCAGGCCCGGCTCAGGTCTGCCCAGGTGTTCTCAAGTGTGCTCACCCAATTTACGTAACGGCGCAGCCAAGACTAACCTTACTAGAAATCAACAACTTTTAACGAGAGCTCGAAGATGCTCCTCCCCTAACCAGGGATCCCAAATATACTACTCTATTATGCTAATATAGAGACTATACCCTAGGAGGATACTTTCGTTTCTTTATTTAAGAAATAGCTATCTCCTCTTACATTTACAAAATCCTTTCTATCTTCTCTCTTCTCGCTTATTTTATTACTTATCTTTCGAATGAAAGATGGGTGCTCGGACACATGCAGATTAGCAAGGTGTCACGAGTCAAGAGCCGAGTCAAGAGTTCACGTTCATAAACATATGATGTCACGAATGTGACAGCTCTCTGATACCTAGCAAACCTCGAGTAACAACTGATTCTCGTACGTACAGCTCCATATACGATCGCCTTGGAATTAACAGCCTTCACTAAGATTACTGCACATATATACTAGTTTATATATCATTTCCTTAGTGCTAACAAAACCAGTCTCATGTATTAGACAAGCCGCTCATGAACTTCTTCAAGCTCTTGAGCCTGGATTGAAACACCGGGCGCTGAGTGGCGCCAGCAGTTTCCCAGTGTCCGTTGAAAACTGCTGCTTCGGTCCCTTGCCAGCTCTCTGGAACCTTCCCACGCCACCCAAATCTTGATAACAGGCCCCCTGGTCTGTGCTCGACGCCCGCCAGTGCCCTTTGCCACTCGGAGTAGCGCTTTCATACAAAAGCGGAGAATCGCGGTTTGTTCAGGTCCGGGGGCGGGGTAGAGTCACTGTCTTGTATGGCCCTTGCACGGAGATATCGTGTCATTAATGTCTCAGTCAGAAAAAGCACATCTTTTAGTGATCGTCGCCACATCATGACTCATTTATTTACTTCTATGGATCTTTATCTTACTCGCACCTTAACTCTTCTAGCCAAGAGCAAGGCATTCGACTAATCTTATTTCGCTTGAACCTCCGTTACAGCACTCAATCGTTCGATACTTCCGCCGCCACTAAACCGCCGGACAATTAAGGTTGTCTTTAGTTTCCAATGGTCGAATGTCCAATTTGTTCAAAACCTGTCAAGTCGGCAAATATTAACCAGCATATCGATTCAGAATGCCAAGCTTTCATTGAGGGTCTCTCTCCCGAGCCTGGTCAAGAGGATGGCGGATTACCAGTGTCATCCTTCTTCCAGAGACCCGCAGCAAGTCGAGCAGCAGTCAATGGAGTGGGGAAAGTAGATGCACCTATCTCTGCTGACACGTCGCGATCGCCTACTAGGAAGACAAATAATGAGAATGCAGTTCGAAACAAGAGACCTGTGGGATCCGTCATACCATCGCACATTTCAGACGTCAATCCTGTCGATGCTGTTGGAGGAGGTCTTGCTCCTAAAAGACAGAAGGCTAGCAACCCCTTTCAAAACGAACTCCCTCTCGCCGCACGAATGAGGCCACAAACCCTCGACGAAATCTGTGGCCAAGAGCTAGTTGGTCCAAAAGGTGTGCTTCGAGAACTAATCATGGAAGCCCGAATACCGTCAATGATATTGTGGGGTGGTCCTGGAACTGGCAAAACAACGATTGCAAGAGTGATCGCTTCAATGGTCAACAGCCGGTTCATAGAAATCAACAGCACAAATTTTGGGGTAGGAGAGTGTAAAAAGATCTTTTTTGAGGTACATATCAGTTTCATGACTGTGTTGCGGACTTTTCATAGACAAGCATTTACCGTCTTACAGGCTAGGAGCGAGCAGAAGTTGACACGCCGAAATACAATCATATTTTGTGACGAGATTCACCGCTTTTCAAAGTCACAGCAAGAAATATTCTGTAAGAACTTACTAGCTTATTCTCTTTTGTTTTCCTTACTAATGAAGCTGACATGCTACCTTTGCAGTGGGGCCTGTTGAGTCAGGATTGATAACATTGATCGGCGCAACGACCGAGTAAGGTTCCTCACTCTCGACAACGTACTAGAAGCACACGTTTACATTCACAGAAACCCGTCTTTCAAGATTCAGAGTACATTGCTGTCACGATGCCGCACTTTCACCCTCCAAACTCTGACCGTTAGCGATATCGAGAATATACTTGAGCGAGCCCTCGAACTCGAATATCCAAATCATTCTCGACCGCCTATTCTTGACCCTGAAATGATAGCCTATCTTTCCGCCTTTGCTGCAGGTGACGCCCGTACTGCGCTGAATCTTCTTGAGCTCGCCATGAGCCTTTCGACACGCACAGACATTACAAAAGAAACCATCAAGAAGTCGATGACGCAAACGCTTGTTTATGATCGTGTAGGGGGCAGTCGCTTTGACACAATGTCCGCCTTTCACAAGTCTGTTCGAGGCAGCAATCCAGATGCTGCTCTGTACTACCTGGCACGCATGTTTGAGTCTGGCGAAGATCCTTTATGGATAGCCCGTCATATCATCCTAATTGCCTCTGATGATATTGGAATAGCTGATAATAGTTTGCTATCTCTTGCCACTGCTGCTTATTCTGCCGTAGAAAAGATCGGTATGCCAGAATGCCGAATAAGCCTCGCGCATGCTACGGTTGCTTTGGCCAGGGCTAAAAAGAGCATGAGCGTGTTTCTTGGCCTGGCCAGCGCTCTAACGGCTCTAAAAGAGCCTGGGGTCTCTGCTCTGCCAGTGCCAATGCATCTCAGGAACGTGCCGGCAGAAATGATAGATATGGAACATAGGGAGAACTCCAACTCTGGCCCTGGGCAGGAGGTGAGATAGTTTTATCTTCCCCTGTTATCTGTTGCATAACCCTTCCACATTGAAACTAAATCTAGTTCGACAGTATCTACCTGATGTTCTTAAAGGCAGGAAATTCTTTAAAGAATGAAGATGATCTTGACATAGGGATCCATAGCAAATATTGAATTAAGGTTTATATCCCTAGACACGCTTTAAAGAAGCCTCTGATATAATATGGTCTATTTTGGTAAAAGTTTTAGTTTGGACTAAATCTAGGTTGGTTCCGTTCCGCTGCGGCCAGGGTTGTCCCTTACTCACACTTTTTCTCTCAACTTCAAACATAAATAAGTTTTAATACGACAATAAAAGATCTATATGCTCTTACACTGTATTAATTCACTTTTTATATTACAAATATATAAATTATTTATACTTATATATAAAGTTTTCATATTTTTATATAAAGATTTAGTAACTTAATACAACTTAGAAGAGTAGGCCTTGTAATGATCTCTCTTTTTCTTTTTCTTCTTCAAGCGAGGTACAACCCTGACAACAGCCCAACCGATAGAGTTTAATGGGCAACCATGATGAAGGTAAGTTTGTGAGTGAGGTTGAGGATTTTGTAGGCTTGGATATAATATATGTGGAGTATTTTGGGCAATATAGTGAGTGGCAGGACGTCGAGTGACGAGAAGAATTGGGATCACGCAGTTAAAATCTTTGGAGAATCCTTCAAAACCCAAGATTGAGTGGAAGTATGGGAAAATGAGAAGGCGAGAATCCCATCGTGGTGCTGGATTGCAATGGCAGAAAAATGAGTAGTAGCAAGGACTCACAAAGCGGATTGCATTAACACCAAGACATACAACGTTGTCCTAGAATATCTGAAGCAGTTTGAAGCAAAGGATTACAGACCGAATCTGAATCGCTCTGTCAATGTTTCCAGATGCAATTTCCCTCTCGCACCCATACTTACTTACTCTCTATCCAGAAGCATTTCTTTACGAAGTAGAGAAATCTCTTTGCTAGAGCTGAAGAAATCTATAAGATATTTGACAGCCTAAACAGCACGATCTACAATTTGAGCTTCCGAGCTCCTGGGTCTTCTGGAACATTCCATTTGAGCCCCTACCGACCATAATTACACAATACAGAGACAAGAATGGTGGTAATTCACTTGGTAATTCACCAAAAGACGTCAACAAATTTTGGTAATTTAGTTTCTTATGTTCTTGATCTCTCTATTGGTTCCTGATGCACCAATCCTCAAGCTGAGTCGTGGTGAACTTTCCTTCGCCCTCTGCGAGAGAGACTGTTTGAATATTCTTACAGCGCTTCCAATGGAGCGGGCAAAAACTGATATCTGACTTAAAATCCTCCGGGAAGAATTTCCAAAAGTCTGATGAAGCGCCGTCTCCCAGCGTACGCGGCAAGTGAGTCGTTGTCACGGGAGAGACCTCCCTAGTCCTCACGAATGGCGAATGCCAAAAGAGAGGGGCAAAAAGATGATCTATTCTCTATGGGGGCCAGCTAGCTAAGTAGTCCTTCCCTAGCGGCGGCTGCTGACGTAACAGTCATGAGGTTTCAAGCACGTCTTTGTACAACAAACCGTGCGGCAAATCCCTGACAGTATACGACTTTTCCATGACTTGCATACTTTCAAGTTCTGTGGACTCGAATATCACAAGCAGATGCGGCTCTTTACCTTTGCTTGCACTTGGAGACAAGATTGTTCCGTTACTGCTCCTGATCTCCACCTTTAGTTCAGAGAACCACTGTGCTAAACAGCGCTGGATCGATGCTAAGCTTAATAGACGGTATATTGTTATAAGGAAACCGAATTCGAAAGAGCGTATTAGTGGCGATTCGGCCTCTAAAATAGCGATCTTAACGGAGAATGGGGTTGAGGAGAATGTTATAGTTGTGCGCAAGCATATAAAAGGCACAATTCCGTAGAGCATTACTATTAATGGGCCGAGAGCTGCAATTAATACTGCGATTGCGAGAATATTGTACTTGCTATAAGCTGCCTTATTCGTTGTCTCCTAGTATGACTGTTTTGCTAACGTTTAATAACATGCTATCTATTATGACAATAGATGTGGTCTATTTCCTCTTAGTCCTTGGCGATATATTCTTTGGGCAACGAATATATCGCCGTTGATGCTAGAGATAGCCGGTTTGGACGCCGGGGGTTCGTAGTTTTGCGAGGCCGCTGAACCGCTATTAGACCATGAAAAGTCAGGCCTATATAAAAAGCATGGGAATATAACTGAGTCAAGCCTAAATTAAAGCAAAAGTTCAAATAATATCAATATTCCGAATTTCCCACGCTTCACTCCAAAATCCAGAATATTCATAGAACTTTATAATGCCAACCCGCTTATAAACACTATCTCCTCTTATAAGTACTAACATCAAGGCCAAGAATTCTCGGTGGCCTCTAAATTGAGACCAACTTCCGATTTCTAAAACGATTATATCTTTGAAGATATAAGGCGAGGTTAAGGAACCAGGCGGAAAGACATCAAATGTGCAGAAAAGATCCACATGAATCTGATTTTCCGGTTGTGGGTCTTTGAATATATCGAGCGATATTGGGGAATTGGGCGGAAAGACGTCGAATATACAGAAAATATCATTTTCTGATTGTATTGGAAGCGCTTCTATTTCCCCTATCCTGCCATGGGCGCCGCCATTATCGCTGGGAAGCGCCCAGTAGAATAAGATCCGATACCCCTAGACTCAGTATTACTTTTCCCTTTCGCTGGTTCCCTTTTAGTCTGCGGACGTAAGCAACTGCTGCTTTAACCTGAGCTGAGGGTGAGCACACCTGAGCCGAGGGTGAGCATACCGGAGCAGAGCCTGAGCAAGCCCGAGCAAGCCTGAGCAGAGCCTGAGTATCCTGAGCACGCTCTTAGTCAGCCTGCGCACCATAATGTGGAACCCATTTTGGCCTCCTGTATACCCCGGCTATAGTTTCCTTACCGAATTTTGCCCGGGAATCCGGGTTTCTGTTGGAGCAGATTTTGGATACCTCCTGTCAAATAGCACGTGACCCCTAGTTCAGCCTCACAATTTACCCGGAGTAATCCCGATAGACGACCTTCTCCCAAAGTTTAATATCGCTCCATCCGCACAGACATGGCCTGATACTATGGCGAATAAATCTAGATCAGATATTATTAAAGCCAACTTTATTAGTAATAGGCTAGATGCATTTCGTAATTCTTTTACTTCGATTTGTGAGAAGCTATATCGAGTATTCAAGAATGCATTGGATTAGATTAATGAAGATAATACAGACTGACCTTACTAAAGTGCTCCTCTAACTAGCATATAGTACTCCCGAATCTTTCGTTTGACCTTTTATTAGCGCTATAAACTTGTCCGGCTACTATGGGAGGGAAACTGTAACAAGACAAAAACCCATATAAAATACACCAGAGTATAAAACGTGACTTGATAGCAAAATAACAAGATTAAAAGCGTAAATAGTAAAGCATAAATAGTATATAGTATACAAAAGCTTAATTAATTAAATATAGAGGAGGAATTATTATCTAGGACTATAGAAAAACCAGATTTCTTATATAGTTCCCGCAAGTTATATATAAAAGGCCACAGCCTTTACTATATAACTAAAACCTTAAAACCGCTAAAATAATATGATTTTTGGAAGGTATAGCCTACTATATTATATTTGATCCCCTATTTATTTGTACTTGTCTCCTAAATACTAAAACTAATAGAAAAATCCTATTTAGAATCCGAAATAATAAAATAATCAGGATTCTTCTCTATTAGCTAATCTAATTTCTCCTTAATATATCTAAAATAAGATCTATTACCTTTAAATAGTCTTATTTCATACTCCCGAACTTATTTAAAGATAATTCAAATCCGCTTAACTATATTTTTATATTGAATCCGATATAGTTCTTTATATTAATTAATATTTATCTTTAATTATTACTTAATTTCTGCCTTTATTACTAGGTATTAAAAAGGCTTATTATAATAAATTATATTATATATTATACTAATATATTTTAAATAAATAGTTCTTTCGAATTTTGTATTATTCATAGTATTTTTAAATTAATTTTTAATAAAAAGGGAAAGTTCTGGATAAAAGGCTTTCATAACCTTATAAAAGATTTTATTTTTATATATTCTATTCTTAATAATAACTAGACTTATTAGAATTATAATAAAAGGCCTATTAAATAGTAAATTATTATTAAGCTATTTTTTAATTTCTATATTATTCGAGAATTATTACTTGCCTATAATTCCAGACTTATAAATTACCTAGCTAAAAGTATTTATTTATCTAATTAAATAGACTATATTCGAAGTCTTTCTTTTTATTACTTTTAGTAAATACTTGCCTATTTTCTTTACTATTTCCGGCTTAAAATTATTAGGAATAGAAAAGTAATTAATATTCTTAAAAAAAACTTTTTACTAAAAGTAATAGTTTTTTTATAATTTATAAAAAAATATATAGCTAATATTCTAATACTTTTTATTAAGGTAGAATTCCCTATTTAAAGCTTTAGTAATAGCTAGATCTTTAATATTACTTTTATATTAATTATAATTAATATTTCTAGAAATATAATATTAGGCTAGCTAAGAATAAATAATTAGATAAATAAAATACTTATTTAATACCTTATAAAATCCGAGCTATATTAATAGATCTGCTATTAAGAGTTAAAAGACTAAAATAAAATAGCTATTATCTAGATTTCTATACCTTATTATATTATTTTTTCGGAAATAAAATTATAATATCTTTATTTTCTATATTAAGAGCTCTTAAATACTAAACTTTTTAATCTATTTCAGATAGTTCTTTTTATAAATATAATTATTTATATTTAGATTACTAATACTAGATTTAGAAATAGAAATTATAATATTAAATTAAAGCTATAGATTTAGATAAAATTAATTAAAAATATAATACTTATATTTATATTTTATAATCTCTTGGTTTTCTAAAAAGAAATCCTATATCTCTTTATTTACTCAAATAATAAAAACATATTTCTTACTTTTAGTAATTTTATAAATTATAATAACTAGCTTTAGAATATTCTTATAAATATTCTTATCTCTTATATTAATAAATAG